AGGGCTTAACTTTTACTCAGAGTAGACCCATTGTAATTAACTCATATTATGACATTAGGTTAATTAATTTCAACGAGCCTACTCTGAGTAAAACTTTGTTGAAAACTACCTCATATATTACAGTGACTAACAAAACAGAGAGATTATAGACTTAAGCAAAATGCTTCAGTTTCTGTCTTCTTCAACTGTTTGGATGTGAATCATAAATATTAAATTATATTATTACACAAAGATATTTACACACATGAATCTAATCAATACATTCCTGTTTTATATCAGACAGAAATATCAATATTAACCTTCTGTTCTACCTTATAATCAAAGAATAGAGAAGTAATCCATTTTAATTTCGTATCTAACCTTCCAAAAATCAATAAAGATTGCCATGCTTCCTTAAATTCAGGTTTTAAAGATTGGGCAATTATCTAAATTAACTGAAAGGAGCAGATTGAATTGCTGTATAGTAACAAAATGCATGTATCTTATTAGCACTACTTACCAATTGCTATCCAGGGGACCGTTTCAAAATATTTCCTTCTAATCAGGAAGGGATTTGTGGTCTCCTAGAATTGTAACAGCTGGAAAATATATCTTGCTAGCAGGAGAAAGAAGATGTTACTTCTTTGCTCCCACGTTATTTGCTTTCAACACAATCAAACGCTCTTGTTGGACTTCCATTCGTTTTATCAGCATTTGGCAGACTGAATTTGACTGTCCAACAAACACATGTAATTATCTGAGAATATGAGGATATGGAATTATATTTTCCCAAACCTAAGCCTATGACACATCTGGTCAGATGTTCATGCTGATCCTATCATGACAGGCTATGTCTATTTAAATGTTTTCTGTACTCTCTTGGCAGAGGTTAGAAATGCTATACATACGAAACCTCAACAATTAGATATATTTTGGATTGGGAAGAATGCTGGTAACCTGGATAAAGTTTTGAGAGTTTAAATCTCAATAAAATTATTAGGAGTGTATTAAGATTGGCTTATTTTCCTATGATTGCCATATTTCAAAAAGTGAAAACCTGGACACAATAGTTGTTGAGCTCTTTGGCCAAAGTTGTTTACTTTTTTTTGCATAATTACCAAAATTTGGAAAATCGTCAAAAAGTCAACATTTCTAATGTGGGCTGTCATATGCCTGGGTTCTCACATACATTTTTCCTGCTTTTTGAAAATTCTGCCTGGATGCCATTTTCGACGGACGAATCCTAGCTATGTCCGGGAAATTGAGGACGTATGGCAGCCCTAATTTTGCACATGATGTGCTACACTTGAGCAGATGATACGGTCCTCAGCACCGCATCCCACAGAAATTCTCTGTAAAGACCTTGTTAATCTCCTCTGATAATTTCAACAGGGATGATTCTTGGCTGATTTAAAGTGTCTCCTCAAGGTTCTTCCTCCTTTTTCTAAGAATTGTGTCAGTTTTCTTGAGGTGTCTTTGGTGTAATTGTACAAATCCAGCATCCATTTGGTGAAAATAAGGAAAAGGCATAAGTCTGCCATTCTGGGAGGAGTGAGTATGTATGTATGCATATATGTATAGGAAGATTGCAGATCCCAGAAGTGGTGTATGGATGCAACCAAGGGCTTTAGGTTGATAGTTTAATGCTTAACTTTATCTTAAGGTGGCCATTTAGGCACTGCTAAAGAAGAAATACGTCACCAAAAAATGACGACAAAAGATGGTGCAGTTCTACCTAAATTTAGGAATAATTGTTATAATCTAAGTAGAAGTGCTGCACATCTCACCATAGTGGGGAAGACTGTGAACAGGGGATCTGTGCACATGTCGTTCACTGCTAACTGCTGATGGGCAACTTCAAGGCTTCTCTTTTTACGGTTCTTTACCTTTAAACCAGGCGTTCTTTCAACATTTGAGGAGTTACTTGGGAAATGGGAATTTCCCTTATTTGCTTCATAATTGCTTCATAATTTACAGTCCTTTCCTAACAGAAAGGGCTTGTTATTATTATCTCCTTGTATGTATGAATTTATCTTTTCCCCCATTTTGTTTTGCTTTTTGAACTCAAAAGCTCTGACCTAAACATACACAAGCCACATATTAACCCACACCTGGATATTTAACAGGGCAACCTTAAACATACCTACTAAGTCCCAGGGAGTAAACTTTCAACCAAACAAAGCACTTGCTCCTGGAAGGCATTAGGACAGGGGTCAGCAAACTTTTTCAGCAAGGGGCCAGTCCACTGTCCCTCAGACCTTGTGGTGGGCCGGGCTATATTTTGAGGGGGGAAATGAACGAATTCCCATGCCCCACAAATAACCCAGAGATGCATTTTAAATAAAAGGACACATTCTACTCATGTAAAAACACACTGATTCTTGGACTATCCGCGGGCCAGATTTAGAAGGCGATTGGGCCAGATCCGGGCCCCGGGCCTTAGTTTGCCTACCCATGCATTGTGAAAGTAACCCTCCACTGACCTCTGCTGGCCCCTCAGCAGCCCTGGCCAGCAGGAATCAGGAAAACATTGGATGCAGCAATCATTACTCTGACCCACTGCTCCTAGGGGTGGGGACTGTCCTGCTTGGGTAGATTTCCCTATTCATATATGTAGTCCTGAATGTAATCTAATGATTACATGTACCATTCACAGGGTAGGTTAGGGATTCTAAAATAAAAGAATGCAATTTTGATCATGTTCCCTTGTCCATACTGAGAATCACTATGACAATATTTCAGAATTAGATCACACAAATTAAAATAAGATTTAGACAGCATAATACTGCCACCCAGTGGAAATAGCAATAGTATACGATTCGGGCTTTATCATCACAGCACACGAGAGGGAACCTTTGCTCTGCAGAAAGAATATTGGCAAATGTTAAGATATGTAAGAACCTCCCTCATTTACTACTATCCTACTAATTGCATATCCAGGACTTGTTGGAGAGATAGTGTGAATCACAAGTGCATATTTAACTTGCTGCTCACACACCAGGCAAGAGGTGGATAGTATTTATTCACAGGCAGCTACACTCATTGATACCCAGGCACCTAGCAGAGGGCAGGTGAGGGTGAAGCTGACGGTGAGAACAGGGCAGCCGGGTTATCTTCTTCCAAACTGGGATCACAGCAAGGGAGTTGTCCACCAACCCTAAGAAGGAAACTAGTAAGTCCAAATACGGCTAAATTAGGATGTCAGTGGGCAGCTTGACAAGAAAGCAATAATGAGAGGCTTCATCTGAGGACTTGAACCAAAAGTGATCTCTGTGTAAGGAGTCCATAGGAACCCATTTCTTGAGTTCTAAAGGTAAGAATAGGATTCTGGAAAATGGACAGTAAGGTGCGGCACATCAGGCTTGATATGTTTTTACCAAAAATACTGAAGAGAAAATCCAGGGACTAAATTGAACCTGCTGGTGACACAGGTCTACTTTATAAGCTCATTACAAGAGTGTACACAATAAAGATTATAAAGCACTCCTCAAATTAAGATTGCTCTCTTTTATTTACACAGACTTGGAAACAAACCCTAGTGAACTCTGCAGGGCTTATTTCTGAGTAAATATGGATAGAACTAGGCTACAAGTTGGTTTGCATGACACGGTAAGCCAAACTTTACAAATAAGCAGCCTTCTTCCTCCTCCAGTCTTTTTTACTCCACACCACACAGAGCTAAGGCAAGGTGTCATTCAAACTATGGCTCATGGTTAAACTCTGTAATCGTGAGTTATAAAGACAACATTGGAGGACCAGAGGATGAACACGACCCAAGTGTCATGAGAACCAGGCCTGCATGTCCAATATAAATAAGTAATCACAGATCAAGCAAAATGTATTCAATAAGCAAAAATAAAAGGCTTATTTTGAAAACATATCTAGTAAATTCTGGGTGAAGCTTAGTCTCATGCCTTAATTGCCTTCGGAAACCCAACAAAGTTTTCCCAATGCCTCTTTTCTAAGAGTCCTGGAAGATATCTCTGAACATAGGAAGAGTATGTACTTCTGAGACGGGTAAACGATCCATCTCATCCATCATCCTGTTTTTATAGTGGCAAACCAGACACCTATATAAGTCCAAAAGCAGGACCCGAGTGCAGCAGCTGTCTCTCCACTTGTGAGCCCACGGAGGCTTTCCTCCATTCTGGTAGCCACCGCCCATGCTGAGTAAAACCGTTATTCTAATTTCTCCATGTAATAAAGAAGTTTCTAGGGGCCCTTTCACAGCCTCCAAAAAGAACCCCCGTGTCTTTGTTTCTTTGGGAATTAGGCACTTGTGGCTGTTTCACGCACGCATGTTCCTCACTGCCAGGGACGCGGACTTATAAAAAATATTGGGGGGGGGGGCCGGGAAAGCTCATGAATAATAAATAAGCTCATGAATATGCAAATAAAGTGGCGCCGCCTCCTCGTGAGCGAATAGGGGAGAGCGTGCTGCGCCTATTAATCAGCTCCAAAGGAAATTGGGTGGAGCTTTTGCTCGGGAGGGAGGGCAGGAGGCATGCAGCCCGCCCCTCCCTGTGCATTTTGGGCTGGGGGAGGGGCGGCGATGGCGCTCTGCTGGAGGGGCGCCGGAGATTATTGGGGGGGCAGAGCCCCCCCAAACGAATTTTTGAGGGGGCTCGGGCCCCCTCAAGCCCCATGGAGTCGGCGCCTATGCTCACTGCTACGGCTGCCTTGCACGTGTGGACGAGCCATTGCACACCTAACGCATCGCGTGCACCGCGTTCCCGGCGGGAATCCTTCCGCCCACCCGGCAGCTGAGACGCGAGTCGGAAGTGCTGAGCCCCGGAGTCAAATCAAGTGAAGCGGGAGCGCGCACGCACGTGTGAACCAACTCTGCGGTTCTACGATTCCTATCCGGGGGCTTCTTCTGGGCTTATCCATTCTTGGATGCAGCCACCCGCGTGAGCTTCAGCCTGTGAGCGTCAGCCTATCAGCCTCGGCCGCTTCCTCCGCCCCTCACTGTCGGAAACCGGCCGCTCTTCACGCCCCGCCTCACATGACTGCCGCCACGTGACAGGCGCGGGGCGGGTCACATGAGCGGCTCTGGCGTGTGTTGGGGAAGGAGTCACATGACCCGCTTGCCTGTTCTCTCCCGTCTTCTCGACCATGTCAGCGGAGTAGCCCCGGAAGCTGCACCGAGTTCCCCGAGCCCCGCCATGAGACGCGACCGCGCCTGGGCCCCGGCTGGGGGGCCTCGCCCGCTCCAGGTTTCCTCGCCTGGGGCTCGACCCGGGTTCTCCCTCGTCCTGCTGCTCCTCGCCATCGTCCTCCCGAGTCAGCAGGGAGGCAGCGCCGCCGCCGCCGCCGCGGCCCAGGGCAGCTTCAGCTACCAGGAGCTGTGCCGGTGAGTGAGTGCCTGGCTCGCCTCCTCTGTCCCGGGGAGCTGCCCCTGGTGAACAGCTGGCAGGGGCCCAAGGGCGGCGCGCGGAACCGGAAAACTCGAGTTGCTGCTTCCCCTTTCCGTGCAGCACCTGGCGCGCAGGTGGAAACGCTGAGCGTTCAGACAAGCGCTGCTTCGGCTTCCTCTTTTTTTGGTATTTGTAACGGTTATGGGACATCTCGTATTTTAGTCTTTAAAGTAGCCTTTTCGTATCTTTTAATTCCCCTGCCTCCCGCCCTTCTGTATTCCCTCGGTTGTATTAGGGAAATGTGCGTTTGCGTGTCTGGTAAAAGACGCCTTCTGTGTTAGTTCGCAGAGGACGCAACCGCTCCTAATGCCATCCCGCCCATAGGTGGAACCGCTCGGGTTTGTTTCAGACATGTTATCTGTGCAGGCAGTGGGGCTGCTTTGTAACTTCTAAAGTGATTTTATGCAAGGAGGAGTGCTTTCTTCAAGGAGTTTAGCTGGGATGCCATCTGCTGTACTATACAAGTCAGTACTGGGCTGGAGCAGTGTCCTCAATGCCTGGACATGAGGGGCACCGGCATCGCGTCCACAGCTTTCTATCAACTGTTAAAACAGTCTTCATTCCTAGGCAGTTTTTGCCTGGATAGTAATTGAGGTTTTTCACAGCTGTGATGTATTGACTCAATTACACTTTGTCAAAACACATTTGCATAAAATTTCCCTTGGGAGAATGGCGTTGCGAAATGAACTTAATTGCCTATCTCAGACCTTCCTCTTTGTTAGGAAGTATAACTAGAGTTATTGCTTGTGTATTTAACTTGTTCAGTGGGTTGGATCCTGCACAATTAAAATAATTGCATATGGTATGCTTGGAACAATGCAAATCTAGTAACCAGAACAGGTTTTTCCTGCTGTTAACTTGAGAAGTTAATTTAACCTTTGCCTGCTCTCCTGCGTTGTGATAGCCAGCTCAAAACTTCAGTATGTTTCGCTTTCTGTGGAAAGGAGGCTCAGCCCCCATCATGTTTTTATGCAAACATTTATGAATGTATGAAGCTGTTTTAGACAAGGTCTGATATGACACATTTAACTGAAGATAGTTTCTACTGATTACCATCAATTCTCCAGGATTTCAGATGGGCCCTTCTTGACTCTGCCTAGAGATGCCAGAAACTTTTAATATGGAAAGCATTTACAGTATCACTGAACTATGTCTCCTTCATAGGCAACTCTGTAATTGGAGTAGCCTAGCATGCATAGATGTCTTGCGTTAGTATGCTGCATCTTGTTACTTTAAGCAAACTGTAAATAGCATTTATTCAAAATTCTTAAATAATTATTTAGCACCTTTGGGTGTTCAAAATGCATTGCAAATGCATTACATATCTCATTGTCCTCAATGACTGGCAGACACTCCAGAGTTTCATACGGAAAATTCTCAGTCCTACTTGAAGATGACAGGAATTGAACCTGTGACCTTCTGCATGTGAAGCACATGCTCTACCATTGAGCTATGACCCTTCCCATCTTACGTCTCTGTAATAATTTTTTTTTACATTGATACAAGGCAAGTTTAGGTATGTCTTAATTAGCTGAGGTTGCTCTACAATCACAGAAGATCACTGCTGTAGCCCTGTGAAGGCTGCCTCAAACCAACACAACTAAACTCTGCTTCCTTTTGTTTCATCTTCTCCATGCACTCCGTCCTTAAATAGTATATTTTCGGATCCTATCCCTGCAGATGAATTGTCTGTTCAGAAGAATATTCTTTAATAAATCCCTGCCAGTGTGGAAATTTCAGCAACTCTTGACTGTTTGCAAGTAATTGAGTCTTTAGAGAATGGTTTGTCCGCATTTCCTGCCTTGCTATAAAAGATGGCCTTCAGCAGCTATAACAGTTATCCCCATATTGCTAATGGGGATACGCAGACAGAAGAATGCTTGAGTAAGGCCACCCATTGAGTTCATGGCAGAAGTGACATTTGAATTGGGGACTGCACTGATTTCTTGGCTTTGTCTTTTGGCCACTGTTACACTACAATCTGTTTCTTCAGTTTTGTTGATTTTTGCGTGGAAGTGGTGAGAGGCTACCACGTTGAATTGTAGATACATTTTTAAACCAAAACAAGAAATTGGTTATACTTGGAATACATTTTGTTCAGGACTAAGTTGGAAAAGCACTCTTTATGTTTGCAAAAATGCATTCCACATTGAATAAACACAAACAGTGGCTCATTGTGTGAATGAGGTGAGCTGTATACCTGCAGGATTTTACTGAAAAGGTTTTTGCTTCATTTTTGCAATGAATAAAGCAATTCATTGCTTTAGAGAATCTGTGTAGCATTCCAATGCAAGTGGGTTGGTCTCTCTCTGTGTATATTTATTAAACTGTTGGGTTGTGCTGTGCCAGCAATTCCAACCTTGCCATTGTATAAAGTAGAACATGGCAGGTAATTTTGGCATGTGCCTGCAGACTTGCAATTGAGCACAGAGCAGAAATTAACAAAAAGCCTGGTTGAGTCAAGATTAAAACTGACTTGGTGACGAACTGATGTGTCTTTATCAGTATCATTTGTTTTCGGGGGGGGGGGGGGAATATAGTGATGTTTACCAAAAACAAAACAGCAACAACAAAACAAATTGTTGAAACTTGGAAAATACAGAAATATTCTAAATTCAACACCACTGGTACCAGCACTTAACTTCACCTTAGTCAGTCTTCTGCGTGTCAGTTTGCAATTACAGCTTCATGATCTTTCATAACTGCCTACATAACTGACTATATTTTCTTGGTTTTAAAAAAAATCTATATGGTATTTTGTTTGGATATGTCCTGTTCTTTCCTGTTTTCCTGCCAGCATTTTAAATATGCTCTCCCTTGGTAAATTTCAGTGTGGAGTCTTTGGGATTTTTCTAATTATACTCTTGTCTGAGGAAGCAATATTGAAATATTTAGAACATTGCTTCTTAAATGCAAGATGTGAACAATATATAAACTTTAGTGTAAAGCCACATTTTAAAATTTAATCTATATATGCTTCTGATAAATTTTAACTATCCATGATGTGTTGAAATCCAACACAGTGCAAATAGGCAGATTTACACCACTACTAACATTGCATTTCCAGAAGAGAGATCATACCCAAAATTACGGAGGGCAATCTACCATATTTTTCCATTTAGGATGGGTTGCAGCTTTTTGAAGGGGGAATATTCAGAAAGTTAAGCCCTGACCTCATGCTGTTCAATGGTGCTTTGCAATACTGTAGATTAAGGGGGAAAATCTCTCACTGTTAGATGCCTTGTTGAAGTAGATGCAGTTTGGGAGGGAGGACAGAAAAGCAATATCGGGCACCATTTGTTAGTTACAGAATTATTGTAATGACTAGCAGGAATTGAAAGATTTCAAGGAGAGGAGGAGTAAAAATGTGTTGGTGTTACAGCAGAGGCCTTGCAGTTCTATGTGTCTCCTTGTCCTATAGCCTGATGGAATGGCTACTAGAGATGACAGTGGCAGGAGAAATCTGACAGAGCTGGTCTTATGGTAGAGTGGATGGAGAGTGACTATTGTCCATACGGGATCACTATGTCTGTTCCAGTGCCTAGTGCACTATTTTTGGACTTAATTCACATTTCTGCCTTCCCATAACTTCTCCCCTTACCTCCACACAGGCCCTCGTCTCCTGCACCCCATTTATTAATCTTTTGTAGCATCACCTAAAAGTCCCACATTACATATCTATTTAAACATTTCTAGGCTGTTGCTTGGGCAAGGCCCTCAAGGGCATCTTGCCTAAAACGACAATTTATTTTGGGTATAAAATGCCATCCATATTTCAGTTGAAATTATTTAAAATAGTAGTCTAACTAAAACAATAGACTATTATAATATATTAGCTGTAACAACTTAAAATGATTTCCAAAATCAGCACCATTTGTTGTGCTAATAGCCATCTGTCTCGGGAAACAATGGAGGAGTGTGCCTTTGGGGTGCAGTCAAACCTTCTGCCGGTTAAGAAAAAACAATCTGAAATAAGTGAGTTTCAAAAGCTTGTACTGATTGGGCATTTGTATATCACTTGGGTGAGAGTTCACAAACTGGGGGGGGGGGGTTGCTACTTGAAAGACCTTGTCTTGTGCCTGGGAGGGAGTTTCCACAAATGTGGGGCTGCAAATGGAAGGCTCCAGAGAAACAACCTTTTCAGTATCTTTGATTTTTAGAGATAGGACCTCTGGAGTTTATCTTGGAGTGCAGGCAGGTTTGTACCAGTGAAGGGGCTTCTTCTGATAACCTGACCACAAACCATTCAGCGGGTTCAAGTTCAGCATAGTCACTTTAAATGTGCTCAGGAGTGCAGCTGACCCAATATCGGTGTTGTGTGCCTCACTAGCATCTGGGTAAATACTTTTCTTGGTACCAAGGATGGTGACCATTGTCACAATGTGAGACTGGGAACAAGACCTTGGCAGACTTGGTGACCCTGCTTGGCTACCTGGGCTAGGTAAGATTTGTGGGCCCATGGCAAAACAGTTAACAATTCAAGTTGCTTTTGTATTGAGCACAAGTCTCAGACTTGTTGATTTAAAAGTATTCTCTTCTGATGTTGTTTTAAGTACTTTGACCATCAGTTGACTGAATTGTTTTGGGTCAGTCAAATGCCCAGCCCTGCAAGCAATGCTTCTCTGAGTCAGGTTGGCTCCCTTAGTGAGAAGTGGGCCATGACTACTGTAGAATTGCTTACAGCGTTAACTAGCCCGTACTTCCCTTTGTCTGCCTTTGTGTCAGGGGCATAACAAATACGTTCCAGTTGACTAGAAGTCTCCTGATTTGGGCCTGGAAACTGAAAGCTTTAACACCAACCTTTTTTTTAAAGGCTTTTCTTTTGAATGTTTATTCCGTGTCAGATTGCATAAATGAAACTTGTGTGGTTCAAGTTCTTGTCTGATTAATTTTAAACATGACTTCAGCTGCAGGGGGCTTTCCATGGAGAAGCATCTCCCATGACGTTAGTCAGGCCAATATAGTTAAGGCTCCTGAGATGAGAGCACCTATGAATATTATACGGGTGACAGCACTGGGAGAAATACATATGCTTCCAAGGGTGAATATGTTTGGAGGGTGAACAGGACCTGTTGTTCAATAAACACAAATGTGAAAATGGAAGTGTTAAGTGCCACTTCAGTTCTCAATAACAACTTGCTTTTATCTTCTGTAAGACACATTGAATCCTTTGTCTGATGTTTTCCACTAGGTGGGTACGGCGCCTGTGGCCCTCCAGATGTTGTTGCACTCCCAACACCCATCTGTCCCAGGCATCATGGCCAATGGTTAGGGATGATGGGAGTTTAGTCCTCAAACATCTGTTTAGCTACCCCCTGGTACATAGTTACTTAGAAGTTTGTTATTGAAATATTAACTGCAGCTGGAAGAGTGTCCCTCTGAACTAATGGCCAATCTTCTATGACATTCTGGGAAAGAGGTTGTAGCTTGGTAGTAGGTGGAGCATATATTTTGCATGCAAAAGTTCTCAGGTTTGATCCCTGGTGTCTCTAGGTAGGACTGAAATACTGACGCTAGCTGGACCTCTATGGAAGGCAGTGTCTCACATTCCTGAGCGTTAAATGCTAATTTCAGAAAAAAATACATCCTCACCATCATATTAATATTAATATTATTTAATAAATTTGTATCCCACCCTTCATCTGAAGATCACAGGGCACTTTACAACTTTTAGTTTGTTCCATGTTTTTGAGGTGACAATAGATGGTTTGCATGTGTTTAGCAAAGATGAATTTTTATTTTGGTTAAACTGCTTCAGAATATAATCTGAAATGTGCCTTATCAAAAAGATGTTCGTTGTTACATCTCTCTGCATTGCTGACAGTGTGCTGGAAAGCTCATTGGGGGGAGGGGTGTGTGTTAAATATGAACAAAAAGTTTGCTAGATTTAGGATGCTGATGAGTAGCCTGGGCTGAAACATGTATCTGAAGAAGTGTGCATGCACATGAAAGCTCATACCAATAACAAACTTAGTTGGTCTCTAAGGTGCTACTGGAAGGATTTTTTTTTTTATTTTGTTGAAACATGTAGTTTGGCAGCACATATTCATTGTACCTCCCTCCCGCTCTTCTTTTTCAGTTACACGTGGGAAGCTGTTGATCCAGATAAAGTACACTACAAAATAAACCTCTGTGGTAGTGCCACAGGCTGTGGAGGGTCGAGTACCATTTGTGCATACGACATAAAAAGCAATGCCAGTTTCTCAGTAGGTAAGTCCAGAGGTTTGTCTGCTATATGGATGTTAAAATGTGAAACACCACCTATCAAATTCTCTTGCGTGTGCCTGTGTTCAAGGTTTCTCTCCTTGTCCTGAAAGCTTCATGTTCTTGCTGGTGAGCTATATCGCCTGCCCTTTGCAGCAGTTGACTTTTGGGGTGTGGTGTGCAAAGGGAGGAGGATGGCTTAAACTGATAAGGACTGCTTTAAAATGAATCTATCCTTTCTTTCCTGGCTTGTAATGCATGTGTATGTGGGTTGGCATCCTAAGGTTCAGCCTGGTTCTGTTTTCAGTCAGCAATTTGAGGAGGCAGAAATAACTCGATCCGTTAAGGCAAAATGGTTTGTGCACATGAAATCTTGCAGCAGCAGGCAGGGTATGTGGGCAGAGTTTTTGTTTTGGGGGTGCTCTGGTCTCTCATCTGCTGCATAACCTGCGTGATGCTAGGAGCCAGCTAGCTTTTCTCAACCCTGGTGATCTAGTTTTCCTTGAGAATAAGGATTTGGTTTGCTCCTGTTATTCCTTCTACATGCCTTGGCTCCCTCCCCAAAATGGGTCCAGAGAGAGGGGTGTGACATGACCAGCTCAGCCTAGAAGCTTCATAAAATCCATCTCTCTGCCATGAGCCAATTAAAGTGTTACCCAAGGAGCACACACCATCCCTAAACTGCTGATTAGTGATGGTGGAGGGCATGTTCCCTGCCCTAGATAAAGATGTAAAAGTTGTAGAAAGCTTGAAGCTGTGGGTGTAAAAAGCTTTTTCTGTCCCTCTCTTCCTTGGAAAGAACCATGGGTTGATCTGCCTGCAGAACAGGCTTCTGTTTGTGCAACAAGACTTTGCCTTATTCACCACCTCCATACTCCCATTTCGCCCTGAAATATGCTCTTGAGATTGGGGGGCTACTTGCTTTAAAAGGAGATGAGTGGCACACCGCCTTCAAGGTGGCTGTGAGGAAAACAAAATATAGAGACCCTCAGCACTGAATTCCACTCCATTCTGGAAGAAGGGGAAAGGCAACTTTCCCCAACTTCCTTTCCCCATAAGCTGCCTGAATCGCTTCTCTGGAGGGTTGGTTGAGACACCAGAACACTGGGATCCAACCCAATTACTCTTTTGTTTTTACTTACCCACACCCATCCTGAAATGACATGTAATTTTTTTTTTGCATTTTGCAGTCATTAAAAAAAATAGCCATACACTTTTATTAAATTATTATCCTCCAACCTCTGGACTTCAGTTTCAAATAGAACACATCCTATAGAACATTCTAATTTTGCAATTAGGCCTCGAGAGCATATTAATTCTGGATGATTTCAAGGACTTTCCTTGGCAGCTGTTATAGAGGGTTAGACTTCTTACTTGTCAATGTCAGCTGAGTTCTGGAGCCAGTATCTTGTTCTCGGGGGTGGGGAAGAAGAGAACCATTGACCTTCATAGTCGCAGACTATCTCTATCTCTTGCCCCTGACTGTGGAATAATGAAAGGAGTTGATTTCCTTTTAAGCAATATATAACTCCTAATAGTCCTGGCTGAGCCAGTCAAAAATCGAATCTATTTTCACTCTTTCTGAGTTGGCAAAAGTCCAAGCTGCAGCATTGATGTTCTGCTGAGCATCTTCACTGACTTTGGACTTGGCCGTAGTCACAAGAGAACGAAAAAGACAAAAGGAGAGGGAATTTCATTGAAGTAACTCGTACACAAGTATTTCTGGATGGTGGCACACTAAAGACTTCTTCAAAACTCCTTGGCAAATACATGGGTGTGCACTAAGATGGGGAAATGAGACACTGAGGAGAAATTCATGCCTCCCATGATTTAGCCTTTGCTAAAACCATGATATAATTAAAAAATGGGGTGCTGCTCACAGACTCTGTGCTCCTAGTTTTATGGCATTAGACAGATGCATGGAGAATAAGGCTGTCAGTGGCTACTAGCCATGAAAGCTATGCTCTGTCTCCATGGTCAGAGACGGCATGTTTCTGCATATCTTTAGCAGTCAACCACAGCAGGGAAGAGTGCTCTTGTACTTGGGTCCTCCTCCTGAGTTTCCCACAGATATCTGGTTGGCAATGGTGAGAACAGGATGCTGGTCTGCATGAGACACTGGCCTGACCCAGCAGGGTCTTCTAGGCACTTACAGAATACATGACCTAAGAATGCATTGTAGTCAGATGACTGAAGACTCTATGCCTAGACCCACCTAGGGAAGAACTAGGCTTCAGTTTTTCATGGGGGGCTTGCTAGGCAGATACATTTTATTTAGCTGGGCCTCTGATTCATACGATGTGTGTCTCGATTGGTTTTAACGTGTGTGTTTTTATGGATGATTTTAAGAGCCTTTGGGTTTTCCTTTTATTGCTTTTTGTTGTGTTTGTTGCATTAGCTGGCTCGAGCACCTTTAATGGAAAGGTGCGATCTAGATAGGTGAGTGAATAGCTCCAGCTTCTTGTTTTGGCTGTATGCCAAAATAAGAAAAAAAGAACAGAGGCCTACTTTGCACAGAGGCAGCAAAGCTGTATTGCATCAGACTGCAGGTGGAGGCTCACCTGACTGGATGCTCCTCATTACGAAAGCTAAACTTCCTCAACGCTAGAAAGATGAAATAGAGATAGATGTTTCCTTGATTATTTTAAATGCTTCTTAAGTCACGAGCCAGCCTACTCATTCAAGGTCAAAACCCACATGTTTCTCCCTGCAGAAAAGGACTAGCTGAGGGGGGTGCCCTTGTCCTGCTCTATATGGCTTGGCTCCAAAGCAGGGCAAGACCCTTTCATGTACACAAGCATCCCTGCAGAATTCTTCCCAGTTTTCCACCCCCTGCAGCCCCTTGTACCTCATCCCACACCCTTTGAAAAGGGTTCTCATTCCTTGGGAGAATCTTTGCTTTGGGTGCTGAGGGTTTTCGTGAGGGATGGATCTAGGGGAACCCCGTTGCACAAGCGTGGAGTTCTGCTGGCTGCTCTTGGGTGGCCAAGAGATCAGAGGAATGAGAGTAGGTTAATGGGACTTTCAGCAGTAGGTGTTGTTCTATCCATCCTTAACCTAAAGAGATTTCTCATGGAGGTGTTATACTACCCCAAAACATGTTTAGCTCAGTCTTTGCACATAAAGGTAATCAAGACAAATGTGTTTTCTGTAAGTGAATATCAGGTGGGCTTTTTTTAAAAAACAACAACAACTACAATATGCCCTGTACTAAGCTTTTGAAATATAGGCATTTACCCTCTGAATTACAGAAGATCTATTTCAAAGTATCAGGTCTGAATTGGTTAAAATTGGATTACGGAAGGCTTGTGTGGATTGGCAAATCCAATTTGGCCCAAGCTTCTATTAGTCTTACACAATAAAAGGCAGGGGTATAAATATATTTTGACTTCGTTGTTGCTTTGTTTAGGGGATTCCTCGTTGATGAGAAGTTCTAAACTGCTCTTGGAGTTCAACACTACACAGACTTGTAGACAGCAAGGAACCGAGCACAAATTACAAAGCAACATTAATTTCTATTGCGGGAAGACTCTGGTCAGTATGGCATTACTGCCAAAAACCTTTCTTGTTTTAAAAATATATGCAAGGACATATTTTCCTCAATTTTTAATGTGTTTTTGAAAACTAAGTTTTATTATTAAAACATTGAACATGATAACCAATACAAAAGTATAATTGATAAATCACAATAGGAAAATACAAACATGTTGAGAAATGCATTTTTTTTATATTTTAAAGACTTAATGTCAATTCATATGCTTTATTTCTTTCAATATGGCATCTGCTACTTTTAATTTATAGATTCTTTCTGCTATAAAGCTACCTGTATATTGTGTTTCCTTGGCTCTTCTGGAGTGCATGGGCTTTGTTTAGAAGGGATACCCAAACCAAATGTTTGTTTTTATCTCTCAGTAACTGTACAGTTAATCAGTTTATGCACACGGCTTGACTGTAAGATGTATTGTATTTTAGTTACACCTGTTTTCTCAGCCAACGTTAACTGACTGCCAGAGCAGCTTAAAATTAAGATCTATAAAAAGTTGGGCTACTGGGGCATGTTTTTCATGTATAATCGGGAAATAAAAGTGCATTTGAGAAGGCATCTGAGAACCTGAATTCTAATTAATTGTCCTGTTATTCCAAGTACCTTAGTTTGTGGTACACTATGTGTATGTACTTTCATATTCCTGGCTTCATTCCATATCTGCCAACTTGCCAACGAAAAGTCATTCAGCAATTAATTACCTGCTAGAGTGTTCTTGTTCTAGCTCTAGGTAATTGGTTTATGTTACCCGTTTGAACGATTAAGCTTTCTGTTTTTGGTTTAATAATGAGTAACAGCACACTTTGTATTTCGTCAATTTCTTAATCAGGGTTCCCCAGAGTTTGTGACTTCAACCAGTTGTGTGCACTACTTTGAATGGAAGACATATGTGGCCTGCAAGAAAGATTTGTTCAAACCAACTGAAGAGGTAATGCAAGTTCTAGGCTGGAGTGGGGAGCCTTTTTGGCTCTACATGCCAAGTCCTGATCAGGATCAGTCTCATGGGCCAAAGTTGAAAGGAGGGTGGTGATGCCACCTGCCAATCATATGACATCACATGATTGGTGGCTTGTCCCACCCACCTGTTAAAATCTCTTGCACAGGGTTACTGCTTGGGAACCACATAGGACCCACATCACAAGGAAAGTTGTCAACCTCACGCTCAGTGCTAGGCAAGACAGCATGTGGCAACGGCAAGAACGGGGAGAGGGCAGGTGAACACAGGGAGGTGGGTGTGGTTGCTCCTCAGCCCTGTTGCTGGTTTCCCTACTGAGCAAATCATAATGGCAGTAAAGAGCAGCCAGAGATGGCTCTAGGCTGCAATGGACCCTTCTGGGACAATGGAGTCTTGACTAGCCTAATGTACACTTCTAAGCATTCTAGTCCCAACCTGGTTCCACTGGTGAGCTATATACCGTATTTTTTCCGGCCCATAGGACGCACCTAGTTTTTTTTGGGGGGGGGAATAAAGGAAAATTTCCCCCCCTTTATTTCCCCCCCCAAAACCAGGTCGGGGAACAGCGGGAAGGCGTGCTGCGCCTCCCTGCTGTCCCCCGAGCTTGTGGGCTGCAGGCTGCTGCCCGCAAGCCTTGCGAGCCCGCGGGAACTCCTGCCGGGCTTGCAAGGCTTGTGGATAGCTTCCTGAAGCCTGGAGAGTGAAAGGGGTCGGTGCACACCGACCCCTCTCGCTCTCCAGGCTTCAGCGAAAGCCTGCATTCGCCCCATAGGACACACACACATTTCCCCTTCATTTTTGGAGGGGGAAAAGTGCGTCCTATAGGGCGAAAAATACGGTAACCAGTACCTTGAATTAATGCACATTTTCATTGGCAGCAAGGCACTTACCTAACCATTTCAGCAAAACTTGATGCAATATCTACATCAGCTATACATGTTAAAGCATGATTCTTCCATAGGCAGGTCTCCAATGGGAGTCTCTGTATCGGGATTCTTTCCTGAAATGTGTGAAATGCTCTCTGAAATGGTGTGATGCTTTCTCTTCTGCATGTCATTAGTATGATTTAATTTCCAGGTGCCTTGTTACGTATTTGATGGAGACTTGAGGAAACGTGACTTGAACCCACTGATTAAAACTTCTGGAGGATACTTGGTAGAGGACTCGGATGATGACGTGGAGCTCTACATCAACGTCTGTAGAAACATAGGTCTGAACCTTGGCATACATTGTGTGTCTAATATGCCTGCTTTTTGTTTTTCATCTGACTCACATTTTCCCCTTAGAAACTTGAAGAGCACCTTCCTGTAAACAGTCTGATACATATTCTTTAAACAGGTTGAAGCATGCTTACGGTAATTTCTTTTTGAAAATTATTTTGCTAGTCAGTACTTTGCAGTATCTGGTGACTCCTTGGGCCACTAAAATATTTTACTAGATGCATCATGATACTGCTTTACACGATCTTGTATTGACTATAATGACCCTTTTTTTTTTTGAGACTTGCTTTTGGGATACATTTTCCACATGGGCCATTGCCGTGGTTATATAAATGGAATGAGATGCTTCTTCTTTTCCCCCTTAAGGTCAGAATTAAGAACAGAGATTTCCCTCAGTTTTTCTTCCCCACCACCAGGCTTTCACATTTACTTTCCTAGCAGAATCTTGAATGCATCTGAACAGTCAAACCTCAGATGCATTCAGAAAAGAGTATTGCCTCAGACCTTTCAACCTTTTTCCAGCCTCCATGTGTTAGAATCAAAGAATGGTAGAGTTGAAGGGACCGTGAGGGTTATCTAGTCCAACCTCCTGCAATGCAGGAATCTTGTTGCCCCACGTGGGGCTCAAACCATGGCTCTAAAATTCAGAGTCTCATGCTGTGCCGACTGAGCTTCCCCCCCAAAAAACAATTTTACAGTGGACTTCCTCAGTATAAGAGACATAGAAAACAAATTCCCTGTGTTCAAAAATTCCTAAATTCTTTGTTGCATTGTTTTCATCATTATTTTTTTTACAATTAAGATTTTTTAGGCTTTCCAGAGGAACAGTGGAACACAGGCAGCTGCCATATATGAAGTCTGACCATTTGTCCACGTAACTCAGTATTGCTGACTTGGGCAGCAGCTCTCCAAGGTTTTGGGTTAGGAGTCTTTTCTAGACATACCTGGAGGTGCTGGGAATTTGAATCTGGGGCCTTTTGTTATCAAAAAAGATGTTCTGCTACTGAACTACAGTCATTCCCAGATTTCCTCTTGTACATGATTGTTATAGGATCTGTAATTCAAATGCTGTCAGATTTCCAAGTTACTGTCCTGACATTTCCTCTCTAACACAATGCTGAAGAAAACGAAGTAAAAGGTCATCTATGTCCCTGCTCAGCTTCTGATATTAGCAGATAATAGATCAATCATTAGTAGATGGAGCAATGCAGTGGTACCTCGGGTTAAGAACCTAATTCGTTCTGGAGGTCTGTTCTTAACCTGAAACTGTTCTTAACCTGAAGCACCACTTTAGCTAATGTGGCCTCCTGCTGCTACTGTGCCGCCACCGCGTGATTTCTGTTCTCATCCTGAAGCAAAATTCTTAACCCAAGGTAATATTTCTGGGTTAGCGGAGTCTGTAACCCGAAGCGTATGTAACCCGAGGTACCACTGTACACCTTATTAGAACTGGCTTTGCCCATCTTAAGTTACTGATAATAGCTTGGGAGTTTTAGGAAACAATGCCAAATAAGGATAATATGTGGAGTTGAGATTATTCCAAACTTTTAACAGATCACTGGGGTAATACTAGTTTGTAAAGCTTATCCCTCTTAAGACAGTAAGACGTAACCCGAGAGTTACCAAAAGACTGTTCATATTCTCTGAAGTATTGTTTCTAGAGAGCCATTCAACCAGGAACTGTTGTTGATATGCATAGTGAATGCAGGTATTTGGTATCCCCCCCCCCCACTCTGGGTATCTTGACCAGAGTACCTTTTGCCATTCTAGAATGTTTCTGCAACCATAAAGATGTTAAGATAAGTACTGCCTACTCCTCCAGCTTAGTGGGTATTATATGTAAAGATAATCTTTGATTTCTGTAGCTTTGATTTTTCAGTCTGGCCCAGCAGTCTCCTCGTCCCATTTATTCTTATGCACTACATGGTCAAAATTAAGTTTACATCTAAAGATTTAAATGGAAGACTTTGCCCTAACATCCTTCTGAAACCTTACTTATGGTCTTATTTCTTATATAAACATTGTATTGACAGGAAAGTCCTCTGTTGAAGGCAAGGGTTGTCCAGAGGGAAGTTCAGCTTGCCTGTTGAAGGATGGTCATGCATTTGACCTGGGACATCCTAAAGAACAACTCAAGCAGCTTGATAAAAACAGGTATGACTTCAGTCTTATGGTATTTTAAACTGGGGTAAGTATGGCCAGCAGTCAGGAATTATGAGAATTGTAGTCAGCGATGTTTGGAGGGCCACAAGTTCCCTATCTCTGCTTTAAAGGGGCTATCATTTGAATATCAATCTTAGTAAATTATTTCAAAAGTAGTCTACTGTAAAGTACAGTTTACCGTTTAGCACTCAAATTATTTTGTTGCTCTTGGGAATACTAGTTGGCTTATGTGTTCCCTTTAATGTATTTTCTTTAATCCGTAATTAATCTAGCCAGTTTTTGTTTCTGGAGCACGGTAAAGCTAACCCCTTATAAAAGCACGATCTAGAAACTTTTTAGTATTTAAATTTTATTAGTCTTCTTAGTAATTTTATGTCCTTCTTTGACTTTCACAAGAGTTGCTGAAAGCATATTACAAATACAACAGCAGACATCTGTTTGTAAAAATAAATACTGTTACTCATAAAAAAAATCAAAACTTGTTAAAACAAACCTGCATATAATTTTAAAAATGCAAAAAAATAAAATAGGAGATCAACCAACAAAGCAACAATGATCCAGCCATTAAAACAAATTAAACGGTAAAAAGCACACGAAGAATGGCGCTTGCAATTCAATTCCTTTAGCAGCAGTGGAATCAACTATTTGGATGAAGGGAAATATGCTCATCTGCTGGTGGATTAAAAAGATAAAGGTAATTTCTTGAGACAGGAAATTCCACCCATATGCCTCAGAAAGCAATGGCGCAGCAACAGCTGAGCTGGAAAAATGGAGATTGACATAAGGAGGTGGTCCTTCATGCATCTTGGTCCCAAGACATTTTGGGCTTTGTAGGTGACTAGCGGGGAGTGCCCAGCATTGCCAGAAACTTGTACAAAAATGAAAAATATTGTGGTTTTTAAATGGATAGTATAATTTGTGAGTTTGGACCCTGCAAGCCAAAAATCGAATGAAATCACACCAAAGTCACCTTTTGGCCCACCATGTTGATTCAAAATGGCTTCCGGCATCCAAACATAAACAAAGATGATTTCCCTCACCTTGGGAACCCTCATGCTGAGTTTTGTTATGATATCTCAAGATACACCCAAATCTAGGGAGAACAGATGAACAAGCCGCTTTCCAAAATACGTAGCCAGTACCTTGAATTGTAGTCTGAAATGGACTGGGAGCCACTGTGGCTGATAAATTAAAAGTATAAGGTAGCTGTATTAAATTCCACTCTTGCTGTTTCTGCGTGTCTCACACGGTCTCCTCTCTCAAACTCCCTCCCCCTTGTTTTTCCAGGCTTTCCCTGAGATACGAACGCAAAATTAGCAATGCAAATGAGAGGCCTGACTTCTGTGGTGACCATGATCCAGCAGTGACTGTTACTTTTGTGTGCCCAGAGGGGAGGAAAAAAGAGGTAACTGATACCTGGGGTGACAAATCCTGTTGCTTGATGACAGAAACTGATGGACAAAATCCTGGCCCTAAAGTTGTTTTTTAAGCAGAGGTTGGATGGCCCCCTGTCACGGACAGTGTAGCAATGGATTTCCTGCATTGGCAGAAGGTTGGGTTCAAATACTTTTGAGCCAGCTTCCAACTCAGTTATTCTATATTTTCATTTAAAACATGGATACAGTGGCCTAAATGAACTAAATGATAGGTTAGCCTGTGAACAAACAAACTAGTGAAACTCTGGCTTGTTCTAAGCAAAAGTTAGTTAAAACTAGGGTATTATTTATTTGTTCATTGCATTTATCACTCAGCTTTTTCTCCAAGGAGCTCAAGGTGGCCTTCTCTCCCTCCTCATTTAATCCCCACAGCACCCCTGTGTGGTAGGTTAGGCCAAAGATCACCCACAGTCACTCTGCTTCATGGCAGAGGGGGGACCTAAACCCTGATCTCCCAGGCCTTAGTCCAACACAAAGTGGTAGAAGTCTAGAAGCATCATGGGGCGCATTTCAGCGAAGCGGCTTCTTTTCTTTCCTCCTTCCTCCACACAATAAAATTACAAGCTCTGTTGCTTGTCTTGTTGTGGATCTACTCCATACAGCACATCTTGTGTGTGCGAGTGTGTGTGTGTGTGTGCACGCAAAATATGCCTTTTGAACTTTGTAGGGGGCTATGACTTGGAGCCAACCCAAGGGAGTTTCTCTTCCCCTTTCTGGGCACACTTTTTTTTCTTTTGTATTAGGTGACAAGTCCCAGACTCACTGCTCAAAGTAACTGCCAGTACGAGATTGAATGGGTTACAGAGTCTGCCTGTCACAGAGACTACCTAGAGAGTAACAACTGTGTCCTGACCAGCAAGCAGCATGGTATCTATGTGAATTTGACACCCCTCAAACAAATTCCAGGTAAGCACCCTCTTTTTTTTTTCTAAGGGTGAAGCAGTGGCATCAATATAAACCAAGTTAGTAGCTATGGCAGAGGAAGAAGCATTGGTGCTAGTGTGTGGTATAGCCCTTTACAGGGTTGCACCATTTCTAAATTGGTCTGTGTCGGAAGTGTTCCTTATTGTAGGGCTGTGCATAGCCTCCCCATCCCAGGGACCACATGCTCTGCTCCCATCCCTCCCTTCTTGCTCCTCCCATAGTACCAGCATCACCAGCTTTCTACAGCCCAGGTGTAGCTGGGTAGTAGTAGGCCCAGGGAGTTGCTGTGGCAGTAGATCCTTGGGAACAGGCCGGGGCCAGGGGGAGAGAGATGGAATTCTGTAGGGCACCTTTGAAAAGTAGTGCCCACCAACCTATGGGGTGCTGTTTTGCAAGCTGCTTTCCTGACGGGAAGAGCCTTGCAAAGGAGCACCTGCATCCCAGAGGATTGAGAATGTGCTGGGGAATCAGCAGCCTCCCCACCCCCTTCTCCACCCCTGGTTACGCTGGGTGGCCTGGGACTGTTTCAGCCTGACTTCACTCGTCCCAAGCCCAGATTCCCCTGAATCGGCCCGATGTGGCTGAATCCAGGGCATAGCTGTAGTTTGTATAAATAGGTTGCTGCATGGAAAAAGTTAAATGTGGGTTGCCAAATTTTCTGGGAACAATAACACATTTGGAAATCAAGCCAACATTTTGGTCACCCCACAAATACCCTTTTCCACAGAAGAAAATTGCTCCCTCCCCTGGCTGCCCGCAGCATAACTCAGACCTAAAAAAAGTCAACCCTTCCCCCAAATATACAACTACCACAGCAAAAACAAATAAGAATAAAACTGGTTAAAAATAAATTTGAAGAGTCAGGGCCTTGGTGGGCACCAAGAGTAGGTTTCTGAGAGTTTTGTGGTGCCCACACACTCCATGTTGGGGACCCCAGAGCTAAACTGTTGAGAAAACTAGGTTGTAAGTCCCTAATACCCAGCTTCTTAGCTCATGGTGGCTGGAGACGGTTTCTTCCCCCTCCACCCAGAGGTGATGCAGTCTTGTGTGGACTGTACCAACATGCCCATATTAAGATTGCAAAACCTCAGAATTGGATACTGCTCACCAGATGTTGAAACCATGATTAGTGAGCTGTTGGCAGAGCCTCTGTCTAAATCTGACGGTGAGGAAGAGGAGAGCTGTAGATTGTGTTGGCATCTGTAGTGGCAATCCTTAACTTTCATAAATCAAATGTGTGGTTTGTGTCACATTGTGGTTGAAAGTTTTTTGGCATTTTTGCATGGTTTTCTGAAGCAGCCAGTGGAGAGAGCTGAACAGCGATGCAGCTGTGAGTTTGTGGGGCATGATATGACAACACAAGCAGCTCGCTAACAGGGCTATAAACTGATTACACAAGTTCTGTGGCTGTAAATGTGTGTTTCTGTCTGTATAGTCACCTAAGTACTTTTACCAAATATGTGTTTCAATCATCACAACCCTCCTTTCTTTAGCGTATGTCACACCTTACGTTGCTAAAGATAGAGAAGAGTATTCCTATTATCTGAATGTATGTGGCAAAGCAGCTGGAGGCTACTGCAGTGATGCCAATGCTTCGGCGTGCCAGGTCAAACATGCAGCTGTTCCTCAGCAGAAAGTGGCAGGAAGGTTTACCCACCAAACTCTCAGGTGAGTGTTTAATTAGAAAACAGTCTTCGAGGGTTAGTATTTTTTAGGAACTAAAGGACCTGCATGCAGTGTTGGTTCTTGGCAATTCTAGATTCATAGAATCTTAGAGTGGGAAGAGACCTTGAGGATCATCTAGTCCAACCCTCTGCCATACAGGAATATGCACCTGTACAGGGATTGAACCCGCAGCCTTGGCATTATCGCTCTAACCAACTAATTCAAAGTGTGTTGTGGAGGACAATCCTGTTGGACTCTGGTTCTGCCGTCTAGTTTCTGCTCTTAGTTTTGGAAGAGAGGGCCTTAACAAGACAAAGATCCTTTAGACAGATGTAGAGCTAAAATGGATAACATTCCAAATTAGAAATCTGTTTGCCTCTTTTGAGTTGTGATATCCATCTAATGAACCTTTTTCTGGTTTCCATTGAGTGTGGGCCACTGGTGAGCTCTTTTTCTTCCTTAAATTAGATGAGCTATATTTGAACATTCACCCTTTTGGCTTTTGAAATCAGGTATGCTGATGGAGACCTCATTCTGACATACCCAGGAGGAGATCCTTGCAGCTCTGGATTTGAGCGAATGACTGTCATAAACTTTGAATGCAATCATACGGCAGGTAATGAACATGCTAGTTATCTATGGATCGCTTTGAGCAATATTCTGTGTCCTCCAAGAATACTTGCAGCTGCCCCACCACAGCCCACTACCTCTTGAATGCTAACAGCTCCTTTTGTTCTGAAGTCTAAAAGTTATACAAGCATTTAAGAAATGTTGGTAGGGAAGAGGATTTCTAATTAATGGAGGATTGGTATATAACTGGGTATTTGTTATGAGAGCAATAGAGCGTTCATGTTCAGAGGTAGCATGTTCCTCAGAGTTCAGATATTGGGAGCAAAGCAGCAGATATTTTGCTTTTTTACTCTGCTCGTGAGGTTCTTAGGTGTGCTGTTCTCAGTGGCTAACCAGGTGCCTATGGACAACATGCTCTCTCCACGCATGATTTCCCGGCATTTGGTATTCAGAAACATAGCGCCAAGAGAGGCTCTTTGAATTATCCAACACCATTCTTTCATTCATACCCATCAGGTGTTATAGCGCACAACCCTTAATTCTTCAGAGAATCTTAAAATTCCGTAGATGGTTCTGTACCCAGTACTTTAATGTACACCCTTAGCTTGAGAAGTAAAACTTTTCAAGCTAGAATTACATACTCCCACATTAACCTGCCCAGTATTAGAGCGCCACCTCTGGCTGCCCTCACTCTTTGTGGTGAGGCAGTTAGCCAACAGGTTAGTGACACATCTCCCCACATCAACTAATCCAGCACTAAATTGGGCGTCCCTGGGTTTTTAATAGTTTTTCGACTGGCTTTCAGCTGCTCCGGGTAACCTGTCAGTGCTGTTGTTTTAATCATAAGTTATAAGGCACTCTGAGAACATTTTAATGGAAAGTGGGATATAAATGCTTTAATTTGTGTAATTTATATTTTCCTTATCCTAATCTTCCTATATTTTTTATGAACTTCTCAAAGACAATGATGGCAAAGGAAGCCCAGTGTTTACAGGAGAAACAGACTGCTCATACTTCTTCACCTGGGAGACCAAATATGCATGTGTAGCAAAAGAAGATCTTCCTTGTATGGTTACAGACAAAAGGAAACGCTATGACTTGACACGGTTGATTCGTCATTCTGGTATGGCAATTAAAAAATATATATCATTAAGATATGCGCTACATTTTAAAACTTTTGTTCATTTTGCCTTATCTCAGATGTCCAATAATGTTTTAAACCTGAAAACAGTAAATAGAGGGCTGTTTTAAGTGCTGTCTTAAATGGCTTATACTCCTTCCAGGTGGTGACTGTGGGTGGTGAGATTTCTCTTTTTTCTCCTCCATTCCTGAACCTGCCCACCCCAGTTTGCTTAGCAATGCCCCCCCAACTCCCCAGAGCAGATTTGGGGTACATGCATTGCTGGGGAGAAGGAGGGGAAGTCCCTCTGTGTGAATAGAAGTTTATACCACTGGCAGGTTAATACCGTAGGATGTTAGCCTGCTCGGTCACAGATTGGAGGCTGGTGACTTTCCAAATCAAAAGGAGTTCAAAGTTGGAGTTCAGAATTGTGGTATATCATCAGAAAATGGCTTTGTATGTTCTGGCTGTTGGAATGCAGCGAATGAGTTGGAATTCTTAAGCTATCGGGCAACTAGCAGAGATCCTGGAGCTACAGCACTTATATAATATGCTCCTTGGCAGATTTGTCCTGCCATGAGGTAAACTAACCATATTTTGGGATTGTTGCAATTTTTGACTAAACTTCAAGAATCAGTGTGCATTACAGTAGTAAAAGTCTGGGGTTATATCAGTTCCTAGGTTTCTCTGTGGAATTTTTCACTACAACTCCATTTAAACACTCTCTTGGCCAGTGATATTGCCTGTCTTTGCAGGCACCGAAATGGGCTCAGAAGCACTGCAAACCCCCTAACCAGCTTACAAGGAACACTAATGCTTCTCAGACCTTTTTTTTCCTGGGTGACTTTCATCCCCTCAGTTATAAGCACATGATTTTTACTTCCGCTTTAATGGTTTTACAATACCCTGTGTATAATTTTTGTAGCATTTTATATAAAGCCCAGTTTCAGTAGCTCTATAAATTGTATTATTTCCATTGGTGGTGTTGTGGCGTTTATAGCATTCGTTAGTTTCTTTATACAAAGAGATAAAATTGATTAAAAGCCAAATATAAAATGGGTTACTATTCAAAATCCCTAAAATGCTCATCCAACAATGCAATGAGGAGGACAAGTCCTACCCCACCCCACTAAAAGATGAGCATCACACTAAAGGCTAAATTAACCACCAAAAGACTGAGTAAATAAAAATGACTTAGGTTGGCCCCCAGAAACTGTCAAGTTGCCTGGTGTGTTTCCCTAGGGAAAGTCTTCCACAAACAGAATATGGGTTGTACACCATCAGTCAGCATTCCTGATACCAGGTCAAAAGGTCTGTCAGATTTTCACTGTCAGTCTTGCCTGGACTCCTTTTCCAGTTGTTCTGCTTGCACCCAGCATTAGCAAGTTACGGCAAAAACGAAATCTTCTTGGTGGGTTTTAACATGAGTATAAGTCATACATGATATCAATCTCTTTAATCTACTATGTTCAAAGAACTAACTGCAAGAAAAGACTAACAAAGACTAACCCATAATTGTTCAAAATGTAAGTGTAATGGTGCCTAAACTAGATATTAGGTTTTTTAGTTTGTGACTTGCAATTACACCAGGCTTAACCCCCCCCCCCAAAAAAAAAAAAAAACAACCTGCCCCATTGCAAGCATGGAGAAAGGAGAAATTTTCAACAGGACTGTAGTGTGTGTGTGGAGTGGGAGGGGCTTAACCCTTTCCTTCCCAGTCAAAGTTCTGATGAAAATTAGAATGCAGCAGCTGGCCTTTAGGGAAAAAAGACCTGCATTGGTGCCAATGGCAACCTTCCCTTAAGGCTAATCGCTGTGTGTGTGTGTGTGTGTGTGTGTGTAGAGAGATTTTAATTGGGATTGCATTCTGGGAACCCTTCCTCCCTGCATGCTTCAGCCCCCTGATGAAAATGCAGGAGGCTGTGCTTGCTACCAAGTAAATAAATTAAAAACCCAATGTGGTTTCTAACTATATATTAGAAGTAATATGTGGTTTGACCTGCAGTTGAGTTTCTACATGGCCATTCATTTGTTGGACAGGGGATGGGGAACGATCTGTAATTTTAACACTACAGATAATATGGTTTTTAGAGGAATGTTCATCTAAAATGCAATTTCTTAATTTTAGAGTTAGAGCAGAATTGGGAAGCTGTAGACGGTAACCCTGTGGAAACAGAAAAGAAACGTTTTTTCATAAACGTCTGTCACCAAGTTCTTCAGAAAGGAGGGGCAGTGAACTGTTCAGAAGAGGCATCTGTTTGCTCAGTTGGTGAGTAACCTCCTTGTATGCGTTCCCCACGTTAAAAGAACCACATTCAACAGTTGAATACAATGGTGTATGTGCTACTTATAAAATAGTAATTCCTTCAAAGGACATACATTGGATTGCTCACTAAAACAAGTATCTGCATTTCTTGTTTGGTGTGTGGCTCTTTTTAGGTGAAGACAATAGCACAAAAAACCTAGGGACGTTTATGTCTGCTCCCACAAAAGTTGGAGAGAATATCCAGCTTTACTATTCGGGTGGCGATGAGTGTCGACCAAAAAAGACAATTGAAACAAAGATACTCCTCATATGCAAGCCAGGTGAGTACTCTGGCTTTTATTAAAGCCAAGGTCTGGGGATGCAGTCTCAAGCTGCACCACATGAAGGCAGTGGTGGTAAGGTCCATAAGTCAGGGACAGGCTACATTTTTCAGCCTGAGGGTCACATTTCTTGCTGGGCAACATTTGGAGGCAGCATGCCATTGGTGAAGGTGGCCAGAGTCAAAAGTGGCCAAAACAATAAATGTAAAATTTACCTTTGTATGGTAGGCTAGTTTCAACACACACACACACTCACCACACTCTTATCTTCCTGTTCAGGCAAACATTCCAGCAGGGCAAAAACACTCAAGGAGGGTATGGGGGAAGACCAGTGAGGGATGTGGGGCTGGGGTGTGATTAGGGGGAAGAGTCTCAAGGGGCAGGAGGACCTGGAGGGGTACATTTAGCCTTCTGGCCTGAGGCTCCCTGTGCCTGCTATACATGCAGATCTCCCATGGTACCTGCACCTTTTTTAAAATTGGGGAGGGGGTGTAAGGACATGCAAAAATGGCTCTTCCGAGGTAATGCACTTGGCTTGCTTCAGTAACTAATCTGTGTATCTGATCAGGTACTGGTCTCTTGAAAAATGAAGTGTGTATTTGGTGGTTCAGTTTAATAATTGTATCTTCCCAGGTGACCTGGAAAGTGCTCCTGTTTTGATAAGTTCTGGGTACGACGGGTGCCTGTATGAGTTCGAATGGCACACTGCTGCTGCCTGTGTCCTGTCTCAAACAAAAGGTGACCAGTGCAGAGTCTCTGACTCTCAAGCAGGTGAGTAACCTATTGAAAATGGTAAAGCGGCAACTGGGGCATGGGATTTCGGTCTGTGTCACAATTTCCAGCTTCTAGTTCAACTCCCTCTTTTCATCTAGCATCACTTGTCTCAAAGTAGCAGGAATAGAGCTGTTTCCATCTCTTAAAAAAACAAAACAAATCTGAATCCTACAACTTTGGAATTCATTGCCTGTCGTGCTCTGCCAGAGGCCTTCTGGAAAGACTTTAATACTGACTTTTCTCTACTGGCTTTCGCTAGAAGTTTTGGTGTGTTTTTTTTTCCCCATACAAAAAAACTTAGTCTGTTTTTGTTGCTGGCCTAGATTTATATTTTGCGATGGGCTGCCTCTATTGCTGGTCTCCCAGAATCCTATTCATGAGTATTTTTGTTCTGTTTTCTGTGTTTTTATTGTAAGCTGCCTTGAAAGAGTTAAGTCAAATGTAGCTTATAGTTTAAGTAAAACAATCAAATGCTGTTGTACCCTATGTATTAAACATAATTTATCCTTTAAAAAATAGTACATTTTGTTTCCTAGAACAGAAGGTATATGACAAGTTGCTGGTGCATATCCAGTGACAGAATCTTGAAAATGCAACATTATATTGGTATTTTCTTAAATCCAACTGCACTAGTGCAGTGAAAATTGAAAATGCAACATTATATTGGTATTTTCTTAAATCCAACTGCACTAGTGCAGTGAAAATTGAAAACCTGGTGTTTTGTGTCCTTAAGCATGCATACTGCCACAAGTGTAGTGGGGGTGGGGGGTGTATACTTCGTGAAACTTGAGTGTTAGAATCATTTATGGGCAACTGTTTTAAGGTAGCACATGGAGTCTATTAAATCATGTTTGCCCATCTTACCTCCCAGTCTTTAAAACTTTTGTGCTGAACAAATGATTTTCATTCATTTCTGCTTAGGGTTCTCTTTTGACTTATCACCTTTGATGCATCACACTTACACAGCAAACACAAGTGACTATACTTTCTACATCAGTATTTGTGGCAACGTGTCAAACCAGTTGTGTGCATCACAGTCTGCGGCATGTCAAGTGAAGAAAAAGTAAGTGTTGTTTATGCCTTCTCCTGCTCTGTGTGTGTACTGAGGAACACAGGTGGCACTGTGGGCTAAACCACTGAGGCTCTTGGGCTTGCTGATCAGAAGGTCAGCAGTCTGAATCCCCGCGACGGGGTGAGCTCCCATTGCTCTGTCCCAGCTGCTGCCAACCTAGCAGTTTGAAAGCACACCAGTGCAAGTAGATACATAGGTACCACTGCGGCTGGAAGATAAACGACGTTTCTATGTACTCTGGTGTTCCTTTGCGCCAGAAGCAGTTTAGTCATGCTGGCCCCAGGACCCGGAAAGCTGGCTGTGGACAAACGCCGCAGGATGGTGTTTGGATGGGGATGCTTCTATGCAAGGAATACAAGTATAAAAGCTTTATTGGGCACACAGATTTACTTGATTCACATTCTGGAACCGGGTTATCATATTTTAAGTCTGATCAACTGGAGTATAGCTATAGATAATATTTTACCTTAGAACGTGCATAAGTTGTTAGCACTTCCCTTCAAATGTATAATCTCAATGGTATGCACATCATCTAGGTACTATTTGTATAGACGATAGCATGCCTATCAGTTGTTAATAAGAAATCATGCCTTAAGTTGTACCTGTGTCAACCAGAACGGATTTAGCCTGCTGTTGATTTTTGCTGGTGGGTTTTATGTTAGGTGGGAAATGGTTCCAAGAACCCAGTCCAATGAACTGCTGTTGCATAGCCAGTTGGAGTCTCCAGTACCATCATGAAGAATGTAGGCAATGGTCCAGTATGCAAACAGTAAATTGGCTTTGAGTAGAGAGCACTGGTGCAAATAGCAGCAGGCATTCCTGCCTTCATACAGTGGGCCAAAGATGAGCCGTAAGGTTGGACTGTCAGACACTGCATGTATCCTTTAGGGCATTATATTAGCTTTTGCAATTCAAACGCATTGGTACTTGGGTATTTGTATCCCTAAAGGAAACCTATATGAAGTTCTGTTAATGTATATTTTTAGTGGTAAGGACACATGGAGTCTGGGGTTGCCCAGTTCTGAGCTCTCCTATTATGATGGAATGATTCAATTGAACTATCGAAATGGCACACCGTACAACAACGAGAAGCACATGCAACGGTCTACCCATATTACCTTCCTGTGTGATCGTGGTGCAGGCGCAGGTTCACCTGAATATCAAGTGAGTGCCAGTTGTGGATAATTCTTGTGCATCACATCCTTAGTTAAGTCCCCAATAGTTTAACATAATGAGAAGTTAAACCCTCCTAAGGGGAGAGGGAATGCCAGTTCAGAGGTATGACACACACTGCTTTTTTAGATCGTCCTTTATGGGATGATTAGTAGCAGCAAGAGACTTGCTTAATATCTACAGATAGTTCTTGGAGACTTCCATAATAGATGTTAGCCTTATGGGTACTTGCACAGCTCTGCATTAAAAGTTTTCCAGTAAAGCAGTCATTTCAGTGGTCTTGTGCAGAGGGCTTGCATCCCTGTAGTGAGAAGGAGCTCTATACATGGGCAGGTATGAAAAGTGTGTGTTAGAGAACGTTGCCAGCCGATGTTGTACATTTGGATATATCAACATAGATTTGAGTGGACTTCCTGACAGTAAATGTTAAGCTTCCATGTGTGACAGCAGAATCATACCACTTTGAAATAAAAAATGGCAGCTTCAGCTTAAAAAAGAGCTCTATTGTTACTCACCTTTTGCAGTTTTAACTTCTTTGTTTTGTGTATATATGATTATGGTAATCTAGGCAGAAGACAACTTCACTTACAACTTCAGGTGGTATACTCAATATGCCTGCCCAGAAATACCCACAGAATGTGTTGTCACAGATCCACAAACCATGAAGCAATATGATCTTTCACGGTAAGCAAAACAAAATTTGGTGAATGTAAAGTCTGGGTGGAAATGCTCAGCTGGCAAGTTCTTCCTGACCAAAGCACAAAACATACATTTCATACTTAACATTGTCATGGATAAGATCAGCAATGCTGCTGCTGTGTTGCAAAATTTTCAAACAAATGGATCATAAAGAAGGAAAGAGGGTGTGGAAATATTACTCACAAAGATTGTCCATTTGTAGTTATTGTTATAAAGTAATTGGTATTCCTGAATATGTGTGTGTGTGTGTTTGTATTGTTGCTTTCCTCATTTTGTGCTCTAAAACTGATCAGTATAATTCAGTTACTTTTTAGCATGCTTGTTGCAATGAGATGAATGAATGAAGAAATTCTGCGTCATTGATAATAACTTGTTAAAAATAAGTTAAAATACAAATTGATGTATCCAAACTCAATATTTTTGTTTTGCACATTTTTCAGTTTATCATTGTCTGCAGACAGGGATAATTGGCAGGCAGTGGACAATTCTGAGCAGGGTCCACGCAAAATATACTACATAAATGTCTGCCGACCTTTGAACCCCATCTCAGGCTGTGACAGGCGGGCATCTGTCTGTGAAATGACGTACAGCAAGGTGAGCATTGTATCAGGAGAGTTCCTCTTCACTCTTTTATTTGGCCTGCCTTCTGCGCTTCCCTTTTGTATCTAATTTATTCCTGCAGGAAATCTCCAAGTCTTTAATTAACTTGAGCGCTTCCTAAACTTTAAAAGATTGACTTAGGATGCAGTCGAAGCCCCCATCTGCTGTGCTGGTGAGGGAGGATTGAATGGGGCAGAGGTCTCCCCTCACCCAGTCCAGGACAGCAGGGGGCTCCTAGTTCTGACTGCATAAGTGCAGCTGGGTTGAATTGTAGCCTGTTGGCTTCCCACCAGCAGGAGCCTGCACTTAGCCCATAAACAGGGTTGAGCAGGGAGATCCTGAGCCTTCACTTGAGAGCATTGGATCTGAGTCAGGCCCAATTGCTGTTTCAATTCCAGGTTTGGAAGGTTTGAAAGGAGCAGGCTTTTGCTTCCACCCAGATTCCACCCTAGCCAGCATGGGCTGTGGATATAATGGTGGCCATACCGCACCACCACTCCTGCCACTGCCTAGTTAGATTTTGGATTTCTCTTGTCAGTCCAGCAGGTGCTCTTCATAGCATGACTGCATATGTTCCCGAATTCATCATATAATTATTTTGCTTCAGAATGATGTTCTTTTTTCTAATTTCAGAGTGGTTCGCTTGAAGTTTCCATCAGCAATGTGGGGATTGCCCAACAAGAACCTGTGGTTGAAGGCCCTGGCAAAATCCTCCTAAATTATACCGGTGGCTCTTTGTGCATCACGGCGGAGGGTAAGAGTGAGCCTTTCACAAGCCTTGTCCATCTCGTCTGCTCCAAGGCCACTCTCGTAAGTTTCCAGCTAGCTTGCTTCTCCTCTCAGTGTGGTGTCATAATGTTATCTGATTAGACTACCAATTTGTGGATTTGTGGATAAATACCCAAGTCTCCCTTGAATATCCTTTGTTATGAAATGCAGAATGATCTTACTAGTGCCCAATTTCTTAGCCGTTTCAAAATGGAGTAAAAACTGCTCATCTATGCTGGCAGTTGAAGCATGATTTTAAAGGCTGTCCAGTGCAACTGATAAAGAGTCGGTTTCATCCCCCCCCCCCCCGGGAAATTGCTAGCCTTGTTTTAGGCAGTGACTTGCTGATTACCACTTTTTTCTTGGTGTATGTTGGATGGGGGAAAGGATAAATTATTCTTGGGGAAATTTCTAATGCTTTGCAATAAAATGATCACATTTGCTTTACAAGCAAAGAACCTGAAATCCTACCCTCCCAAATTATTGGACCAAAAATTTGCAGCACACTTGGAATGTATCCCTATGGTGCTCTTGAAGCCAAGGCTGCTTGTATGCATTCCTTGCCATAACTTTCTGACAACTTGTATTTTCAGAGTAGTAGCCCAAGATTCATTGAGATGAAAGAATGTGTTGCAGTTTTCCTGTGGGAAACGGAAGCTGCTTGTCCCGTCACAACTGCAGCAGGGGATGCTCAGGTGAGTGGCAGAAAACACATGTGGACATTTGTGGGGGTTTTACCCATGTGTCATTGAATAGGTAAGCAGGTATCTTTACAACCCAGTGCTGTTCATGTCTGCTTGAGGCAAAGATGCATGATCACCCCAAAGCTTAACCTAAGAACATTGCATTCTTGTAAGCCCCTGAGTCAAGCACTTGAAAAAGCACCAGCTCAAGTTCTTACAAAAAAGTACCCACCCCCCTTCACCTTGCCATTACCCCCAGCCCACCAGGGAGGAGGCCTTCAATGGGAAGGGCACAGCAGAGGCTGCTTGAGATCTACAATAAGCAAATTTCTGATCGACTCAAAGCCTACTTGCAAAGTGTCTTAACAGGGGCTCTCCCTTCTGCAAACACCCTTCTATTTCCCACAGCATCCTTGGGAGAAATGCAGGATACTAGCTTCTAAGTGTCCCTAAAGAAATGCAGGTTTAATCGGAAGCAAAACTGTTAAATCCAGTTCTTAAGCATCGTTGGGTAGCTTTTATTTGACCTCCCATGGTTGTAGTGAGAAGTGTGAGACATAGAAAGTACAGTTGTACCTTGGTTCTCAAACGCCTTGTGAATGTTTTGGCACCCTAATGCCGCAAACCCAGAAGCGAGTGTTCCGGTTTGCGAACGTTTTTTGGAAGCCGAACTTCCAACGCGGCTTCTGCGGCTTCCAGTTGAGTGCAAGAAGCTCCTGCAGCCAATCGGAAGTTGTGCCTTGGTTTTTGAACATTTTCAGAAGTCAGAACGGACTTCCAGAATGGATTCCGTTCAAGAACCAAGGTACAGCTGTACAATTAAATGGAAGGTTAGCTGGGTGTGACTTAACAGGGCACTGTTTCTGATTATAGAGCTGTAAAAGTAATTGGTATATGTGGGCACCATAATCCTCCTCGAAATAAGATCTGATCTTTTGCTTGATACCCATTGGTCTTTAAAACTTGAGAAGAGCTTAAAATTGGTCTCTGAGGAGCTGTGTCTAACCAGTATGGAAGATGGCCTTCTTGACTTGGAAATCAATAGGGCTACAAGCATTTTGATGGTGCATATCTATCATATCTTATTCTCTCCTCTTGATAAATGGTTTTGTTTTCTACAGAGCTGCACTGTAAAAGATCCCAACAGTGACTTTGTGTTTAACCTGGAACCGTTGGCTTCAGAAAAAAAATACATAGCCATGGGAATTGGGAAGTCCTACATGGTAATGTTTCTTTTCTTTTCTTTTCCAAACACAATACTTCATGTCCTTTGAGTTCATCCCCTTTGTTTTTTGCTGCAAGTTAGTAATTCTATGGCATCTCAGATATTTTATTATATTTTGAATCTCTTAGCTAAACATTTGTGGACCAGCGGAGGAATGTGCAGTTAACAGTAGCCTGGCAGCTGCTGACACAATTGGTGGATGTGAAACAGAAGATCTGAAACACATTCGTTTGGTGAAACTGAACAAAACTCTTCAGCTGTCTACCGAAGGAGAACTGTCTCTTAAATACACAGGTAAAGTTGCCTTGCTACCTGTTACAAAGAGCCACTTGCTTCCACCCTCCTTGCAAGTAGGGGCAGCTGAGAGAGGTCCTTCATGCAACACAAGCGCAGGTAGAGCTGTGGCTACTCAATTGGGTTTCCTAAATCAGGGCATGTAGATTTCCTGATGTATGATACCTTTAAGAGCTAGACCTGAGTCCTCTCACTTCAAGCAATAATTTAGGCAAAGCAGCTAGACATTGGGTGAGCCTGTGTTCAAATCAGCTCTATCATCAATGCCAGGATTCTCATCGAAGATAGCTTCTTAAAGGAATCAAGATAATGGAGTAAGATCAGAAGCTGCATAAAACCAAGGGTAGCAATTTTACAGCAAATCTTTGACACAGCATATGTGTTCACTGTCCCACCAGCATCTTCGCATTTCACACAGGGAGATGGAAGGGGCCCACTGAGGCTGAGGGAATAGGCAACATACCCTTGGGCAATGGAGACCAAGCCGTGTTCAGGCTTCCCGTTTAGTGATGTGTTTGCAGGAGGGCTCTGACAAGGGCAAAGCAAGCGCACCCAGTCAAATAGGACCCTTGGGCTTACTAAATTGAATACACAGCCTAAAGGCAATGTTTGACATCTTCTTTAGTCTAGGAAAATAGGTTTAGGAGGTGTTAAGTGGGGAGGTTCTCTCTTTGGTTCCTGTCAGCTGGGTTTGTCACAGAGTGAAAACATCCCTTTGAGAATTCAAGCAAAGTGCAGCGACATCATCGACCTTCCCGTCAAACTGGTGAATTTTCAGTAGACGCAAAATTCTTAAAAAGGCAGATAGTTGGAGCTCTGACTTTTTTTTGTCAAATAACTCATGTGGGTTTACTTTATACTTCTTGGTGTTTTTACTTCCACTCCTTAGGAATCAATGACACTTTCACTGTGACCTTTATCTGCAATCAATCCTCCTACCCCGGACAACTCAGATTTGTGCATGAAGAGATTAACTCTGCACGTAGAATTTATAATACTTTCTTTGAGTTTCACACGGCCTTAGCCTGCCCACCTTCTCCAGTTGATTGTCAAGTTACTGGTAAGTAAATGAATGTAGGGAAATTCATTGGAAAGGTCACTCAAATCTGCTTCAGTGGTAGAGATGTCCTGCAGGTGGCATGTTTCCTTCCCTCTTCTCTCCAGCAAGTGCTATGACTTGTTTCCAACATGCTCATAGTTTCCTTTCCCCTTAGGATGCACTTTGGGTGGGTGGGAGACTGTTAAAGAACACAGAGCGTAGAGAAATCTCTATTCGCCCTGCCACATACTACTCGCCCACAATAACCATATTTAGTATTTCCCCCACAAAAGCTGATTTTACCTTTCCCTGGCTTAAAACTGGGCTGCTTTGAAAAGCATTTGCCTTAGAACACCTGAAGTGTTTGACTACCATTAACTCACTGAAAGTTAAGGCATTCCACTCTAAATGAAATCCGTTGGCTGTTCCAGCCAAAGGTTTTGTTTTTGTGCTCAATAGCATAGTGATTGTGACATTGAATTATCTCAATGGTTGCTATTTTTCTGATACAAAATGAAGTACCTGACAGGTGTTGATAGGAACCTTCCTCAGGGGCACTTGCCCAAAAGGGGGTTTCCTCCCTATTAAACCAACATCTCTCTTTAAAGAGTTGGGAGAAAAAAATCTCTTCTCAGTAAGTGCTCTTGAAGAATGTTCATGGCAACACATGTTGAGCATTCAAGTTTTCAGTATGTTTTGGAGACGCTGAGTATTCTGTTCCTCCTCTCCTTTTTTATCTGCCTTGTGTAAGCTGCCTTCTACCCTCCATTTTGGATTTTATGCTGGCAGAAGCTCTTCCACTCCCACAAATCAAGGCATTCGGTTCTGGCTGGTCCCCTTCTCTGTGCCTCATTGTGAGCCTGTCTTTGCTTTTTACTTCTTGGTTTTTACACGATCACACAGCATTTTGCTATCTTGGCTGCCTGGCTTGGATTACTGTAATCCTTTAAACTGGAGTCAACTGAATATTGCAGACTTAGCTTAATTAAGCATTTTGTGGTTTCTGGCATTACTATTTTTCAGATTCAGCTGGTAATGAGTATGACCTGAGTGACTTAAGCAGAGCAAGTGAGCCTTGGCTTGCCCTGGATACATCAAAAGATGCAAAAGGAAGAACTTTCTTTCTAAGTGTTTGCAAGCGCCTTCCCCCCATCCCAGGGTGCCCTGGTAAGCATTAGACTTGGTTTATGGGAATGGAGGGGCTATCAGTGCAACAGGCTATATCCCACCACCTCAGTTCCCCTTCTTCTTCTCTGACTTCCTCACTCCTGGCAGTCTCTGTCTGCTTCACCTCTTTGCCCTGATACTTCTCAGCAGAGCTGTCATAGCCCCTCTGGGTAGCTTTGGTGAATGCTTAGAGAAACTTGGCATTCAAATTATTCAGACATCCACGAGCCAACTCTAACTTTAACTTGCCACTGAGAGAGGGTTGGTGAAATCCAGATGAACAGTTTCTGAGCCTTTTGATAGATGCAGAGATAGTCACTGCTACATGTAGGGTGCTGTGGCATGTTATGGGGAGGCACGCTGGTGTGCAGGATGCATGCAATTAATCTTATTTTCCTGCTTGGGTTGGATTAAACTTTGAATTTATATTTTGCTATGGAAGAACAGTTGGAACTGAGTTTTAGTTTCAGGAATCTTATGTGAAAATGCCAAGCTGGTGAGCTTTATGGCCAGGGCAAGCACCCTTAAGCTGTTAATAAAAAGGCAGCGAGAACTTTTATGGCAACTTCTTTTTACTAAAAAGAAATTGATTACAAAGTAATGGTTTTTAATAACTTAGAGGAAAAATACTCCCACTTCAGTAATTCATTGACTTACACCGAGTTATATCCACAGTTGACCTTCTTTCAGCAGGACCTGCTTCCATTCACAGAAGGAACTTTGATCCAGTAGAGATTCCCACTACAGAGATTGTGCCTGAAGTACAGGGTTCCTGAACTCTTTGAAACTGTTTTTCAGGGGTTTTAGGGGGAAAGAATCAGTTGAAGAGTCCAGTGGCATAGCGTGGGTTGTCAGCACCCGGGGCAAGGCAAGTAATTTGTGCCCCTTAACCCGTGGATTTTAGCGCTGCGAGTGCGAGCGCGCCCCCCAGATGTTGCACCCGGTGCGGCCGGCCCCCCCTGCACCCCCCCACGCTACGCCACTGGAAGAGTCCCTTCTACTGATCTTCATGGGAGCATCCCATGGGTGGAGCTCCATTCACTGGATCCCGAAGTGCAATTGGTGGTCAGCCCAGGCACTGCTGGCTTCAGTACTCTTAAAGTGAAAACTGTTATGAATTACTTCTGACCTTCTTTTAAAAGAGATTAATGCAATTTTTTAGTGGAGTTTAAAAGCACATGTTTAAGTGTTCCTTTTGGCTGCAGGTGGTATAATTGGATCTTGTGTGAAATACGCGGACAAAGGTCAGAGTCTTGGCATGATTCACATGCGTCCTCAGGCTGCCGCTGATGGGTCCCTTAGTATCGTGTACTCAAGTGGGGACACGTGCAAAGGTAACAGGCAGTACTCAACGCGGATCATCTTCCAGTGTGATCAAAGTATGGTAAGTTTTTGGGTCTGTCTATTGATGCCGAATGGTCTGCATGTAAAAAAAATTGACTTCCTTTAGCAACCTTGCAAGCCTATTGAAGGGCTTGCCTGCATAGCTGCAGTTCCCCCTTCCCATTGTGCCTATGCAGCTCTGGAGCTGTGTTTGCATGCACTGCCAGGGTCCTTCCTCCACTTCCAGCCTAAAATGACCAGTAGCCCTTCAAGTGAGTGAGTGAGTGAGTACCACACGCAGAGCTGCCACATAGCTGCATCCTTTGCTGCCCAGATGGTCATTTTGGAGTGATTACTGCTCATCCCAACAAGCAAGGTGTGGCATAGGGACCCTTGTAACTTGCCACTAACATTTGATCATACAGTGGTACCTCGGGTTAAGTGCGTTATTCATTCCGGAGGTCTGTTCTAAACCTGAAACTGTTCTTAACCTGAAGCACCACTTTAGCTAATGGGGCCTCCCGCTGCCGCCACGCCGCCGGAGCACGATTTCTGTTCTCATCCTGAAGCAAAGTTCTTAACCTGAAGCACTATTTCTGGGTTAGCGGAGTCTGTAAGCTGAAGCGTCTGTAAGCTGAAGCGTATGTAACCTGAGGTACCACTGTGTTCTCTTCTTTCTTTTCCCCCATCTGGAGAGAATTCAAATGCTTAGAACTAGCAACATTATTTTGTTATGAGATAGGAAGCAGCTGAGCTCTTCAGAGTAGCTGATCAAGCTTGCTTCTATTTGCAAAGCATATAGCAGCTTATTTACAAAGCGGACTTCAAGGACCCTCATAATATTGACATGGAATGTACATTTACTTGAGAAGCACACCTCAGTATTGCGAATGAGTTGCAGTATTCATTCTTGTGCTCCAGTTTCCTGAGCAAGCAACACCTCTCTCCTTTTTTGTGACGTTCTGAACTTTCAAATCGTTATGGTGAATTAACATAGTCCCAGGTAGACCCCTCTGAAAGCTGTAAGTATGTGGGACACATGTACATGTGGTGCCATCATCTGGCTCCTCATATTCCAGCTAAGGCAGCCTTTCACTCCCCCAACTGCCACCTACTCAAGAACCATCTTGCTCTGAGAAGAAGACAGATTTTGCTTTCAAAAGGGATTCTTCTCTCTCATGGCTTATGTCTGCTGTTCTACAATCTAGTGGTAATTTCTCCTTGAAACATTTCTGTGTAATCTGCTTTGTGTGGTACAACTGAAAAGATTGTGTCAATATTGCAGCGCCTTGTGCCAAGTTCAAAAGTCTGCTGTTTCCTCATGGAAGCAAGTACTTTCATTTCGGGCCAGCCACCTTGGTATTTCTTCGTAAAATGAAAGGTGGCATATAAATTCTGTAACAATTAACAACAACAACAGGTTACAACTTTCTACATGGAAATCCCTCTGTGTAGGCAAACAATATGTGATGCTTGAAGTGTGGGCCATGTTGAGTTCTTGCCTAAAGTTGTGCCAGTAGCTTGAAAAAGACCCTTGAGTGGCACTTCAGGCTTAATTATGCAATATACTTTTGTCCAGGCTGATTTTCCGCATAACAGGTATATAAAATAACCCTGAACAGATCAGTGAATAGCAAGTATCTTAGATTCACAGGTTTTCTCACTACAAGGAATTTGGATCAGTTTGAGTCCTGGTTACATAACTTAATGGTGGCTGAATTTATATACTAAGTTTCTATAAGGAGATAAACAGAACTTTATGTATAAAGCTGACAACAAACTCCTCCTTTTTACTTAGGGATCACCAGTGTTTCAACATGAAGACGACTGTGAGTTTGTGTTTCTTTGGAGAACAGTAGCAGCTTGTCCTGTGCACAGGGTGGAGGGTAAATATTTGTACTTAAATAAAATTATTTAACTAATGTGTCTAAAACTCTTGGCAAAAAAGTAGTACATAATTGGAATGCAAGAAGAAATAAGACAATTCAGATGGCCTTAAATTATCTATCTACTGTGATTCCAGATACATGGCACAGCTGATCTTAACTTGCAAAGCATTTTGAGTAGAAAATAAGAAAATCATATGTAGCTTTTGTTATGGAATGATTGTGTAAAAGTTTGCAAATGGACTCCTTTCTCATACAAAACAACTTTCCGAAAATAACTGCAACGTTCTGAAATGAACAGATGCACAAATTCATATTGAGAAAATGTTATCTCTGGTCCACCTTTGGACTGAGGTGTTGACCTGGGAATAAGGCTTTGTGTGCATGTGAGTAACATTCCCCTGGGTTTGGTGTTCTTTTAAGGTGAGAACTGTCAAGTAAAAGATCCAAGGTATGGTCATGTGTATGATCTGACACCACTTCGTGGGAAGGATGTGAAAGTGAGCACTGAGGAATATGACTACTACTTCAGAGTCTGTGATGGATTAACAGTGGGGAAGTGCAAAGAACCAGGAACAACTGCAGATGTTGTGTCGGCATGTCAAATTAAGAAACGAGACCCCAGCTTTAAAAAAATAGCAGGTAAGATGTCATTCTGGGATGTAGCGGCTTGGATATATCAGGGGAAGTTTGCCTGGCTTCAGAGGGGAGGATGCATGAAGCATCAAGGTGTACTTCCAGAGCAAATGTCCACCTTAAATAGTTTTATTTTAAAATCTACACATTTGTCTAGTATTTCTATCTAGTGGAAGGAATACCTCTTGACGCTCCTGAGATTTCCAGCTAAGTCATCATGTAGCTGTGATGGCTGTTGTAGGCTATTCCCACAGCTAACATTCACCTGTCTTCCGTGGTTAGTATTAGCATTTGACCTTGAAGTACACAGTTGAGAATTAGTAAAATAACATTGAACCCAGTTGAGTTTGGAGATGGCATCTCCCTCCACATACTTCCACCACAATTTCTGATCAGATGCAGCACTGTGCTCAGATTCTGTGTATGAACACATGCACACTCAGGCGCTAGACATGCGCATGTATGCATACTGTAACTAAACACACAGAGTGGGGTGTAAATAAAGTACATGTGTACGTACGCCTTTATTTTTATATGAATACATTTTATTATATAATGTGTTTTGACTTCTATTTATGTTCTTGTTGGGCAGGCTGAAAACAAGTTAGGTATTGTGTATGCGCAGAGTGTTGAGTCATGTTGCCTGTAGAGCCCTTCTGGAGATGTCATTGCATTTCTGTAGTGTATTGAGTGGAAACTGGGTTGGATAGTGGGAACACTGGGAAGAGGAGATGGGAAAGGGCCAAGATCATGTCCCAGGTCATGCTCAGGTCAGCATACCACCCCACCCTCCCCAATTTCAACAAATCTGCAATCTTAGCATCAGTGGGGGTGGAATTGCTATTAAAAAAACAACTAGATACTGAAATGGAATGAGTCCAAGCTTTTCTTTTTAGAGCTGTCATTCCCTAGTGTGCTTTGCAAGCTGACTGTTGACAAAATAAGGCAGCATTGGGGGACCCACTGGGCCGAATTAACTTTAGTCTATATGGCTAATGTTTACAGTACAAAACTCCTATGCCTTCAGTTAGTATACTCTTTATAATTCACTGTTCAGGTTTGAAAACTACAAAGCTGACATACGAAAATGGATTAATCAAAATTAACTACACCCACGGGGAGACATGCCACAAGGTATATCAGCGGTCAACAGCCATATTGTTCTATTGTGATCCTGAAAGTAATTCGCAGGTAAGCAGACTTGGGTGTTAATCTCAGATGTGATTGTCAAAACCCCTTATGTTACTCTTCCTGCAAAGCCATAAGCTCTAAGCACACATAGCTGTAACCTCATAGAGCCTGGGTGGGCAGACATCAGACTTGCAGGATCTGCATGGGCTATTATTATTTTTTATTATAATTAACTAGAACCTAGAGATCCACCTTCCAGAGCCTGGTGAAAAAGAATAGTCTGAATAAAAATAGTCTGAACCTAGGAATTTTACTTTGCATGCCACACTGGAGTGGAGACACAATACTTCTATGCACAAAAAAACCCAACTCTTGATCTCCTCCCTGCCCCGGCCCCGGCAAGCTTTCTTCATTTCAGCTGTATAATTTAGAGGAGGAAAAGGAGTCATTTTGGTGCTGGTATTATTAAACAACTGGGAATCAGGAACTTACTGATCTACTGCGAATCATTGAGACATCTCCCAGATTTACGTTCTGCCCCTGCTGGCCATATGTGCAGTTGGAGATCAGGGTTGCACAGGCGTGCCCAGCCCCTGAGCCCACCTGATGGGCCCTATATGAACACTACATCCACCATGCACCCATGTGCATAGAGCTTGATACCTGTAAGTTCATTCCACAATTGCCATTGCCCTTCCCTCTCTACTGACTTTATGTGGCACCAGTAATAATTGCACAGGTAGATCCTCATTCTGCTCTCATTCAGCTTATTTGTATGCAGCATGTGAATCAGGTAAGTAGGGTGGGCCAAAAGTACTGAAAACCCAAATATTGTTAGGGCAGCTAAATTTGTTAGTAACAAAATTACTTTGTTTTTTAAAAAAGAAAAGGTAAAAACTGCTGAGCAAATAAATAAAGTGTAGTGTGAAAGCAGCACATGCCAAGGCGATGAGCTTGAATCTGTTATTTATGTTAGCCAAAATACTTCAAATTCACCCTTCTGATTAAAATTCATTTGGTCTTGTTTTAAATTTTTGTATGCATAGGACCATAGTACATTTCCCCAGTATAAGTTGTAGATGGTGCATTGGAGCAGAAGCTCCTTTTTGCAGATGGTTACTGTTTTGCATAATCCGTAGTCCAGACCTCGGATGGAGTAGGGTTGTCTGCTTTCAGTCCTACTGGTATTGTCGGCTTCTGTATGTAACGGGTTGTGGGGGTTTTTACCTTTCTTTTCTCAGCCAGTGTTTCTGAAGGAAATGGAGGATTGCACCTATTTGTTTGAGTGGCACACTCCTCTTGCCTGCCCACCTTCCAGGTCTATCGAGTGCTCCTATAAGTAAGTTGACTTCACCTGGCTGTCAAAACAATAAATTTATTTCCTCCCCATCCCTTCTTTAGGGCTTCCTGTCCCGTCTGTGTTAAATGGCGATGCCTAGGCCATTAAAACAGCTATTCAGTATGATTATTTTTTTGGAGGGTGGGGGAGAACTCTTGTTCCCCAGCCATCAGCAGAAACAACTAACAAGTGGGTGGTGGTGAGATGGTGGATGTCAAAAAAAGAAGAAGAAGAAGAGTTTGGATTTGATATCCCGCTTTATCATTACCTGAAGGTGTCTCAAAGCGGCTAACATTCTCCTTTCCCTTCCTCCCCCACAACAAACACTCTGTGAGGTGAGTGGGGCTGAGAGACTTCAAAGAAGTGTGACTGGCCCAAGATCACCCAGCAGCTGCATGTGGAGGAGCGGAGACGCGAACCCGGTTCCCCAGATAACGAGTCTTACGCTTGTAACCACTACACCACACTGGCTCTCAAAGAAGACTATCTTGTTGTACAGATTCTCAAATACTGAACCCCTAGATACTTGAGAAGCTTTTGCGCGGCTAGAGTAGTTAATAGAAGAGTGGCGGTCGTTCTGCTAGATAAGCTATGTGGCAGGCCAGGAAATTTTGCTTGGATTTTGATGGCACTTTTCTGCACTCCTTACATTGCTGGTGTCCTTTTCCGCAGGATGTCTCCTGTTAACTTTTTTGCTGTAAAACGTCCTTTGTTCTGTTGCAGAGACAGTACCGGCAACTCATACGATCTCTCCTCTCTGACACGGCATAAGGAGAACTGGGAAGCCATTTCAATGACTAACTCTACTCAAAAATACTACATTAACGTCTGTAAATCTCTGGTGCCACATCGAGGAGCGGGTAAGAACTGGAGAGACAGCGCAGGCTGCGTGTGCCCGCAGGCAGGAGTAGGGCCGAGTAGAGGGATTGAACTGCACAGGGGCAGGGAGGGAAAGAAGGGGGAGGCCACAGCAATGTTGGGGACCACTTCACCATAGCAAGGCATTTCCGCAAACCCATGTGCTGTTAGAAGTGCATGGCCTTGACTGCCTGCTGGGTAAACGTTAGAAGGCGGAAAGCCACACCCACTGACTATCAAGTTCTTCCCATTGCTGCTACCCAAATGTGTGTGTGTGTGTGTGTGTGTGTGGCAGTAGTGTTGGATCCTGTAGCAGTGTGGCTTGAGCCCCAAGATCCCTTAGGGAGAGGGGGAAGACCTATCTCCACTTACCTCACAGCTAAGCATCCTGTCTGTTGCCTCGACACTAGGTGAAAAGCATAGCAAAATTTGATGTTGCTTGCAAGATAAGCTGTATATTGGGAACTGGAGTGTCATGAAGAAGGCAATCCACTGTGCACCCGCTGCGTCTTGTTTCTCATATTGGGCTTCTCCATGTAGAGAGGGCAGGTGAATGCTGTCTTCACTCTTTTATGGCTGCAGCTGTGTTATGAAACCTGCTGTGTCCTATTTAAGGCTAAGTGAAAACTGTAAGCATCCTGTAATCTGATACTTCTCCTAGCATTCTCTGTTTGTGCAACAGTGTACCAGTTCTGCCTCATTGTCTTAAAAATTACCCTGGAGCAAGGGAGGAATGACCTACATAGCTTCCTTGAAACTGAGAACATTGGTGTCCAAAGAGTTGGATGTGGGAAAAGAGATTTAAAAGCACTGTTATAACCCACTGTAAATGCGAACATAGGTTTTTTACATGGTAAAAGAGTAGTAAATGGAGCAGCTCCTACCTTTGATTGTGAACACACTGTCCTTGATTCCTATTGCTCTTTGCAATGTTTTTTCCTAACCCTGGTATTTATTTTTGTGTAGTCGTGGGAATGTGTTCTATCTTGGGAATAACAGCAAACCAAGACATACTTGGGAGTAGATCCATTTATTTCAATAGCTCTGCTCTGAATATGACTCATGTTGCTTTAGGTTCATGTTGCGTCTTTTCGGCTTGGAATGTGGGTTTCTCCACGCATGCATGCACAGAAGCATTCTGTGCACTTCGCACATGTGCAGAAGTGGCACTCTAGTTACGGACTTTTCGGGGTGCAAACAGCACCCCGGAACGGATCAAGTCCGTAACTAGAGGTACCACTGTAACGTTGTATACCCCCCTGTTTAATTGAAGGTTAATATGATAAGGTATTTTTCCCTAGCACACCCCAAACATCTTACTATTAAGATGGCAGGTAATAGCCTAAATACTCTAAATTTTATTACTAGACTTGCTGATTCTGAGCATATATAGAAATGACACATAGAGCTAGTTATATGTGTTGTTTCTTTGCCCAGGAACTATGCCGTCTCAATTTTATGTGGGGAGGTATTTGTCTAAAGTTGACCCAGTGTGCCAAATCCTTGCTGGCACACCAGCAAGTTTGTTGTTGTTGTTGTTGTTGTTGTTAACTAAATTTCTATACTGCCCTTCATCCGAGGATCACAGGGTGGTTTACAATATAAAAACACAAAAATACATAACGTAGTAACAAACAAACAAACAAACAAACAAACAAACAAACAAACACCCCCTTTAAAAGGCCATAGATAGTTTAATTAGCCAAAGGCCTGGGAGAAGAGGAACGTTTTTGCCTGGTGCCCAAAGATATGTAATGAGGGTGCCAGATGAACTTTCCTGGGGAGAGCTTTCCACAAACGGGGAGCCATCGCAGAAAAGGCTTGTTATCATGTTGTTACCCTCCAGACCTCTCATGGAGGAGGCACACAGATGGTGATCTCAGAGGAGCCTCAGATGGTGATCTCAGGGTGGTTCATTTTGGGAGAAGTGGTCCTTGAGTTATTGTGGTCCTGAAAAATAATGTCGAAATAATTTCTGAAAAATAATATAGATTTTGCCCATTCAGAAGCCCCAACTTTCCCCTGAATTAAGTTGAAGTGGTGTAGCCACCTCAGAAACATGTGCTTGAATCGACTCTAAAGTTTTTTGGTAGCATTTCTTGAATATGTTATTTGTGCCAAAACACCACCATCACCCAGAGAATGTGGGGTAGGCTATCAGGCAATGCTAAACCCTTTATTTTCTCTTCCCCACCCTCTTTTCTGGTGCCAAACATAGATTTCTGTTCACCGGATTCTGCAGCCTGCCTAATGGATGGGTCCAAGTATATAAACTTGGGTGAGGTGTCTGAGGGAATCCAATGGCAAAATGGCATTTTCGTTATTAAATACATCAATGGTGAGAAGTGTCCAGACCAGATCAGGAAGAAGTCTACAATAATCCGCTTCAAGTGTGACGGAAATGCAGTTGTAAGTATGCCTAAGTAGGTCGGATTTTTTATGTCTCCCCCCCCCCATGTGAAGAGCCATTGCATAGGTTCCTGGGGGTAATAATGGACCATGGGATTGGATTGGAATCTTAGATAGCATGGAGATGACAAATTTACCCCCAAATCTGCAGCTGTGGGTACTAAAACTCCTCCTTTACACTTGGCGGGATGAGGCAGTAATTGTGCTGCCCTGGGGAACTTGTTTCAGAGTAGTTCCCCGCAAAGGGAACAAACAGTGTGTGGTCCAGATTAATCTTGGGTGGTGACCAGGGGTTCTATAACAGAAGCTTAAACTGATGGATGTCCAAGGGGATTTATACTTTTGTGTCTTTTGGCCACAATAACTTTGCTAAGACCTTCTGAAGGGAAGGTAGGCTGCTACCAGGGGTCAACATTCCAGCTGCCTCCCCCCAAAAGGGTAAAGTGTGCTGCAAGAAATATTGTCAGTACCCCAGCGCAGAAGTTTTGCAGAAGTTGACTTTTTCATATCTGTTTTTGTCCAGGATTCCAAGCCTGAACTTATAACAGCCATTGAGGATTGTGAATATACTTTTATATGGTTCACGGCTGCTGCATGTCCTCTGAAAACCAACGTGCACAACAATTGCACAGTATCCAACCCTCTTACAGGTAAGCCTTTGACACACACGTGGGCCTGGTCGGGGTAGCTGCAACCGGAATCAACCTCTAATCGTTCTTCCATGGGAGAGAGCAATAGTGGACTTAGGACTCTCAAATAACCATCTTGGGAGATCCCAAGCTAATCTGAAGGGAGCAGCCTCCTACACCCTAGTGATAGTTACTCGTTCTTGCTCATGTCCATTGGTGGAACATAGAAAGCTGCCTTATACTGAGGCAGGCAGGTTGCCCATCCAGCTCAGTATTGTCAACACTGGCTGGCAGCAGCTCTCTAGGGTTTCAGGTGGACTTTTCCCAGCCCCACCTGAATATGCTAAGGATGATGCCTGGGATTGAGCCATGTAAAGCAAGAGCCCTTCCCTAACTCCTGGATCTTGCAGGTATATGTCATTCCTATTGTATCACAAGGAGTGCACCCATAAAATGCAAGTGGAAGGTTGCATTGGGGCTACAGTGCAGTTGTACAGGATACAGCTATTCTGTGGAAGAGAAAACAAGATGCCCAAATACCCACCAATAGGACAGAAACACACAAATACTTCTGTGAAGGCAAACAACATAAGCTACCGATAATGTCACATTTATTTGTGGATTGGCTGTAATCGAAGGAGAGTGGTTGCTACCTCATTTTATGGGCCGCTTCACACGCAACACTGGGTAAACCTCCCTTTAGTGTGTATGCATGCGCACAGCAAGGTGCTGCAACCAATCACACATCTCTGGTGCATCTACCTGTATGGGTCATGTGCCTGTTTCACACTCCTAAGTGTATGTCTTAAGTACACAAGTGTGCTGCTATCAGATCAAAGGCCCATATGGTGCAGGATCCTGTTTGACAGTGCCCAGCTAGCAGCATTCACCCAATTTGTGTTCACCCAAATAGCAGCATTCACCCAATAGGATACCCAAGAGCAGCATTCACCCAATTTGTGTTTCCCCACAACTGGTATTCTAATCCTGGAGGTAATACATAGTCATAAGGACAATTTCCTCCATGAACTTCTCTAATCCCCTTTGAAAGCAATCTGATTGATGGTCATCTTGCGGTTTACTCCTTGGGTAAACAAAAATCTGAATTGCTCTCTGCAGGGAAGCTAAAAAGCTAAATTATCCTCTCCCCCCTCCCTTTTCTTGCAGGCCATCTCTTTGACCTTAATTCTTTAAAGAGGCAGGATGGTTATACTGTCCCTGATTACAGGAACCAGAGAATATTGCAACTGAGTGTGTGTGATGAAGCCAGAGGTCCATGTGGCAGTGGAGTTGGTAAGCCTGGACATATCAGTGGAGCTCATGGAAGTTCTGTGGAGTTCTCATGAAACTGTCCCTGTACTTATAACCAAGCTAATCCAACCAGCAATTCTACTACTTTAATTGGAAATAGCTTTTACCCTGTACTGCTCTCCTTCCTGCCTACTCTGTGTACCAGTGCCACCTCTAATGTGACTGGCCCTCCATGCATATGGGTATAAGATTCTTGATCAGATTGCACACTTCATCTGGCATATCAACTGGGATTTGGGCCTATACAGACTGGGACTTTGAGGGCACACTCGAATGGCTGTTGCCATTGTTGGTAGGATGGAAATGCTGGGTGCACAGAGGAGGAAGTGCAGGATCATGGCCTGCAGCATGTGGGAAGTGGCCCAATGAATCATCTAATCTCACCTAATTAAAAAGGCTAACATTGAATTCTATTACTTTCTTGCACAAGCTAGATGTAGGTCACAGTTCTTCCCATTTTATAGATAGGGAACTGAGCCTGAGAGCAAGTGACTGTGTTAAGGCTGCCCAGTGAGTCAACGAACAATTTTAACCCCGTGTTCTAAGAAGGAGTGCTTTCCACACGCTGTAACATTTTGTTCACACCCTCCTTTTTCTGAGCGAAGTCCTCAAAGTTCTCAGCTACTTGGTGTAACTAATGTAATCCCTCTCAGTTCTGTTGAAATATAACAGCCCAAGGAGTAGATTGCACAGCTGCTTAACTCAAGCTTCCTTCCGTCATAACCCACCCATTGCACTTCTAAACTTGTTAATAGGTGTCTGTGTCACTGGTGGCCATCAGCAACCAGTCAGTGCTGGAAGACTGACCAAAGCATTAACTTATGAAGATGGAGTTTTGAAACTTAGCTACAGCGGAGGAGAGTCCTGCCCTGCAAATCCTGACCTGAAGTATACAAGCTATTTCAGCTTTGTGTGCAGGCCTGATGCTGGGCCAGGTAGCCAGCCCTTCCTTGTCTCCTTCGATGAGGCGGCATGTGCCTATTATTTCTCTTGGCATACGGCTTTAGCTTGTGAAGAAGAGAGTCCGGTAAGTGAATTGGCAGTTTCATCAAGCTCCCGTTACCTAAAATGTCAAAGTAACAACAATGCCCGCAAGCAATATTTTTAAGTTGGAAAAGGCACAGGTTTAAATGCTCCAGTTTCAGATGTTGGTTTTGTGTGTTTTTGAGGAGGCAATACAAAATTCTCAGATCCATATAATTTGTGGTATCTTGTTCTTTTTTGTTGAAGCGGGTAGCTGGTGGCTTTTTGGTTTGGTTTTGTTTAGGAATAGATGTGTTCTGTTTAGGTAACAGTAGAACAGAGGCAGTATAATTGTGTTGCCAGATGAGAAGTTGAAAGTCCTGCCAAATAATGCAATCCTTGCCAATAACTCTGGTACAGTGCAGGCATAATTCTACATTTGATTAAGGGAACAGTAGATATCCACAGGATATCTGGAACGGAATTCATATTAAACTTAACCAAATCATTAATGGTCAGTCACAACCCCGCTCCACCCCAGGCATGGAGGGCAGAGCAAATTTGCATGCAAGGGAGTAGGAAAGGGGCGATGAAGGAGTTCACAGTCCCACAGTGCAGTTCCTTGACACTGGGTAGCATTATGTCAATTCCAGAGCTCCGTGTTGTGAGTAACAGCCAAGAGAAGCAGAATCCCAACGGTAGGTCAATGGAGACCTCTTTTTCCATTGAGATTAATATATCACTGTGTGTTGGACAACTTAGCAGTGCTCTCGAAGCATCAGCAACTGCTGTGAAGCAGCCTCTCAAGAAGGGAGAGGCTAATCAGGGCCTTTGGCTGTTACTGCCTTGCCCAATAAATAAACTGCAAAGTTGATCTTCTTGTGCCTATGGCTCAGCCCAGGGACAGGTGTCATTTCACTGGTGTTTGCTTTCAATCAAATGTATCTAGGACCAAGACAGAAGTGACCTCTGCTGGAGAAGTACAAAGAGACTGAAGGGAGATTCAGGGTGGGATGGGGTCAGATTGAGCACATGATCAAATGAACACATTGGCTTGCAGTGCAGTAGAGGAGGGGGGAGCACTAAGGAAAGAACAGACCCCGATAAATTAGATTTCGTTTTTGCTTGTTGACATTTGGGGAATAGTAGCTGCAAGTGCTGATTTGTGGAACTTCCTCCCACTGCAAACAGGTGGAATGCTCAGTTACAAATGGCAGCACAGTAATTGACCTCTCTCCTTTGATACATCGGACGGGCTCCTATGAGGCATTTGATGAGACGTTCGATGATTCCTCTGACCTTACTCCAGATTTCTATATAAATATTTGCCGCCCGTTGAATTCCATCAAAGATGTCAACTGCCCACCTGGAGCAGCCGTCTGCATGGTTCCAGTTACTGGTCCCCCTATAGTAAGTTATCCCTATGTATCAAACAATCCTCTTTAGCAAATGTGTTAGTGTTTTCGTAATTCATAACCAGTATGTTGGCTTATGGTTAATTGAGGGTCGCCTCTCTCTGGACAAGTCACTGATTCTGCATGGTGACTATTGTTATAACTGCATGTGGTCTGAACCACTGAGGAAAGAGGGATGTCTTTGTACATTCTTCCTTCTCCCACCCTCACAATCGGGGGGGGGGGGGCACTGTCCGGGGGGGGGGCTGCTTACCAAATCATGGTCTGTATCCAAAGAAGTGCATAACTTTCTACTTGTACTCAAGGCTTTGGGGCTATTTTTTGAGCGACAGATCCACACATCTCATGGCAAACCTATTTCAAGACAAAATACAGTGGTACCTCAGGTTACATACACTTCAGGTTACATATGCTTCAGGTTACAGACTCCTCTAACTCAGAAATATTACCTCGGGTTAAGAACTTTGCTTCAGGATAAGAACAGAAATTGTGCTCTGGCGGCAGCAGGAGGCCCCATTAGCTAAAGTGGTGCTTCAGGTTAAGAACAGTTTCAGATTAAGAATGGACCTCCGGAACAAATTAAGTACTTAACCCGAGGTACCACTGTATGTGTTCCAAAATCAATTTGTGATGTGGTCTGTGGGAGAGTGCGGTGTCTCCTTTCAAAGGAAAAAAATGCCATAAAAATTAGGAAAACGGGCAGCATTGAATCGTATTACAGCCCAAACAATGTGGAAAGTCTGAAATAAGATGTGGAAATGTTTTTATTTTGCCAGATTGTTTTATAATGATCAACTTTCTTTTGGATGCTGTCCTAAGGCTGCAGTTGAAATTCTGGCAGGGCCTAACAGAGTGGTGGGCCCACAGCCCTGCTGCTCACACCAACCAGGGTAGAAGGTTGGTGGGGGCAAGCAAATCTAGTGGGACCTCGGCAAGCTCAGTGCCTTCCTCTCCCACAAAGCCAACCTCTTGGGGCTTTGCATGGGCTGCTGCTAGTGGAGCACCTTCTGGTGGCGCTTCCTCCTGCTTGCCTGATCAGTGAGCAGAATGGGGAACTTGGTGCCTAAGGAGCAATGCTGGCATCACTCTGCAGGCTGTAGCCAGCAGAGACTGGCAGGGCCAGGTGCAGGGACACCTGCTCAACTCAAATCCCCCCCCCCCCCAGCCTGACACAAAGGAGCTTTGGATTCTAGGGCCATGTGCGGAAGCCTCAGAGAGTTGTACTAGTTCTGTTGCCTTTTTGCGGTACCAAAATGCAGACTTCTTGGTCCTGTCTTTCTAAAGTAGCTTGTGCTCTTTGCTTTTCCATCTTTGACACTGGAGGAAGGCAGCAGACCAAAGACAGAAAGATAGGACAACCATGAGTAATACATTAAATTAGCCACCTGGCCTCTCATATAAAGAGGGACACTTATAGCTGTTCTGTATGTCATGCGGGATGAGGTGGTGGAATTCTGGGCTGTTTCCCTTCAGGCTGCAGGTAGGGGAAGTGTGTTGTTGAATGGCCCACCGTTAAGTGAAAGCTCCATTTACTTAATAAATTGGTACATCTGTAAGAATCTTTAAATTAAGTTCTCTGTGTTACTAGTTTTTTCCCAATGTGAGGCTGCCTTCAAAAATCCAGTCCCCTGCCTTTAGTCTACCATCATTGCACAACCCAAGAACACTGCCGCCTTGTTCCACATTACTTGTGAAGCTGCTCTTGCAGTTTCCAGTGTTCATTGCCATTCCCCATGTGAAATGGAATCCTCTCTTGGTTTTTTGTGCATCTTGTCTTGGTGCTCACTGGCACGACTGGAAAATCATGTCAGTGCTTCGTGTGAAAGTGTCACAACTAAGTTAATTTGTTGTGTTTACTCGTTTAGGATATTGGCCGTATTACTTCGCCTCCCAAGCTCAACCCTGCAACACGTGAAGTTTACATGGCTTTTAACAGTAGCACTCCTTGTCTGGAAGATAAAAGTCTCAAGTATTCTTCTCTCATTGTGTTCCATTGCAGCAGAGGGACAGATCTGGTAATGGTCATCTTGTTTTGTGTACTGCCAAGCCTGAATCAAGGGTGGTGGTGGGGAAGAGAAGAATCTTTGGGGGGGGGGGAAAGGACAAAAGTGAATTGAGTGAAGGATTATTAAATCTGTTCCAAATGCTAATTTGCAACATGCCACAAGAGCCTGTAGTGCATATGCTGCAGAGATTTTCAAAGTGCATTACACTCATGTCCCACAGAAACTCAAAACTCAGTACTAAAATCTTCCTTGACATGAGTCGGGAAATACTTATTTTGCCTCTGACCATCTTTGACCCTCAACTCACCCAAATAATACTTCTGATGAACTCTCAACCATAGAAGATGCTAGTTATTTCTAAACTCTATAACTAGGTCACTATTGCAGAGTTTGAATGTAGACTTGAATTCTGAAAACAGGAATCTTATATACCATGTTGCTCTTCCAAAATCCAGGTGTCCAAAGCTTTTTGTAGTCCAATTTTTTGTTGAGCAATGGGCAAAAGGAAGGGCATGAAAGTTTAGGGTGGGGGTTAAGGAATGGAGTAGCTGCTACTGGAGAAGGGCAGGGAGATGTGCAAGGCATTCCCAGTTTTCTTGGGGTGTGGAAGGTATTGAGTATTTGCTAGATTTTCTTCACAAGATCTTGAATGGAAAGCTGGGATTCTTAGAATCCGTGTGTGTGTGTGTGTGTGTGTGTGTGTTGCTTAGCAGGTTCCATGCTTGCATATGAAGTACATGCAGTCAGAATACCTGACCTTTAATGTCTTTTTTACATCTCTGTGTACGTTTGAAAATGTTGCAAGCCTTGGCAGATGTGTGCTGTTAGCTTCAAAGGCTGTTCCTGCTTTTTTAAAATGTCTTGATGATTCTAATGTGAATTTAATGAGGGATGCTGACAGCAAATTACGCAGACAGCAGGAACACTGTGTCCATAATGTTCTGTCAAGCCCCACATCACAGAGGTAAATTCTTCTGCTAAGTCTGAGCATAAGTGCATGGCATGTTTCCACTTTAAAATAGAAAATCAAACAGTTTAAAAGTGATTCTCCGTGTAGACAGCACAAACTTGGGGGAGAAAGGGCATTTGTATTCTGCCTCATTGGCACAAGAGTTTCTGCAGGATGAGATTTCTAATGCTGCTCATTTATCCTCACTTAATCACATGGGGGAGAGTTGATGTTATTCACTCCTGCAAAGTCCATCACTGATGCCTCCCATATCACCTCTGGCTTCTTGCACTACCAGAGTACATGGGAAGCATTTGTTTGGGTTACATAAGAAGGGACCTCAGAAGTCAGAGCCATTGTCTAAAACACCATAAGGGGGTAGTGGTGGAGAGGAATAATGGTGGCAGATCAGCTTTTTATCTTGTCCAGATGAAGAAATGAATATATACCTTATAACAGACTGAATGCAATGGGATTAATTTCACTGGCAGCGTTTGCACATTATAGCGGCTTACCGTGAGCACACAGCTGCCAATCATAATCACAGGCTTAGTGTTGCACCCGAACCATGGTTTGTTTTGATCCGACGAATCACAGTGCTAACCCTAAGTTTGCTCTTGAGTATCAGATCCCTAAATAAGAAGGTTGCAGTAAGCCAAGCCTAAACAATTTTCTGTTTTCTCTTGTTTGTGTTTTGGTGACAGGGAAAGCCAAAAATGATAGGGCAGTCCACCTGCGAATACATATTCGAATGGAGCACTCCAGTTGTTTGCCCTGATAAAGTGGACGTCTCGGGCTGCTCGGTGGCTGATGAGCAGCTGCACTACACTTTCAACCTATCCAGACTTTCTGCAAAGCCTTACCAGGTGATGTGCTGCAACCTTTAGGTGCTGTGGCCAATGAGGGAGCTGGATGCTTTGAACTGGAACCTTGTTTCTATCATGGTGGGAGGGAAGGGGTTGGTGCTAAGTGACGGATTGTAGCTCAGCGGGGGGCGTCTAACTTGCATCTATTCGGTTATGAAGGCTTTTGAAAGTTCAAGCAATGGTGTTTCGTGGGGTGTTTCCCTAGGTGATCTCACAGTGTGTCCTAATAATACAATTCTTCCAGAATGGAAACTGGTTGGAATATTCAGGGGTTTTTTCAGTGGAAGACCCAAAGCTTTTTGTTAACAATGGTTACATGGAACAATTGGGGTGGGTGGGGGAGACTGACTTAAGTTAGTATTTGAGTGGTTCCAGTAGTATTTATTTTTGAAGCATGCCTCTGTTAGTGGGGGACGCATGTGGGAGAGGGCTGTTGCGTCCATGTCCTGCTTTTTGGCTTCCCAAAGGCCTCTGGTTCACCAGCATGAGTTCAGGATGCTTGGCTAGGTGGACCTGTTGTTCTGATTCTGCAGGGCTCTTTTGCTCTTGAAGTTTTACTGCTTGTTGAAATTGAGACCACCATCTGTATGCGAGCAGCAGCCAAAGTAAATATTTCCCATGGCAGCCTTCACGGTGCTCCTTCTTGTTTTCTCTCTTAAGCAACTAGACAAACCAAGATGACAGTAACACTGTGCTCTGTTTCTGCTCCCAGTCTTCTGGACGTCAGCATATTGGAGACATGTTTAACATTTTTCATTTACTCTAATTTGCACTTTAACAATGGTGTTTGCCCATACAGATCTCTGCTGGGTCCAAGAATTACCACCTAGGGGTGTGTTCTGGTGCTGCTGGTGTGCCCCAAGGAAAGTGCAAAGATGCAGCAGTGTGCCTGGTCTCGGGCAACAGTGCCGTCTCCTTTGGCAACAGAAATGAAAGGAAAATGGACTACCGGCATCAAGATGAAGCTGTCATTTTGCAGTATACGGGTGGTGATGAGTGCCCTCCAGGTAAGGCCTTCTAAACTAGCAAGAGTCTTTACTTTTGAGAAGGCTTTTAAGCCCACACCCATGTGGCAGTTAGACTTGACCAGCTTCTAAGCCAAAGGGTAACTCAAAGCAACATTATTTCCGTAGCTCATTCACCCTCGCAGCAGCCCTCTGCAAGAAGGAGGTTCTCATTTTTGAGTGAAAGGTAACTTAGCCGAGGCTAAGCAGACTGTAGTAGCCCTGGGTACTTTCCCATGGGAAATTTTGAAATGGAGCTTCTGCAAAGCCCAAAGTTGTGACCTTCCTAGGACAGCTTCCTGTTTCTTGTCTGATTTGTATCAATGCCAAGACAAGGAAGGTGGGCAAAACCCACCAGATCTGCATATCTTTCTAAGGCTGAAACTCTATTTGTGCCTGCTTGTTGTAGACATGGACCTCATATTTCCGGCAAATTCAAAATCATGTATAATAATAATAATAATAATAATAATTTATTTATTTATACCCCGTCCATCCGGCTATGTTTCCTCAACCACTCTGGGCGGCTCCCAACAGAATATTAAAAATGTGATAAAACATCAAACATTAAAAGCTTCCCTAAACAGGGCTGCCTTCAGATGTCTTCTAAAAGTCAGATCGTTGTTTATATCCTTGACATCTGGTGGGAGGGTGTTCCACAGGGAAGGCGCCACTACCGAGAAGGCCCTCTGCCTAGTTCCCTGTAACTTGGCTTCTTGCAGTGAGGGAATCGCCAGAAGGCCCTTGGAGCTGGACCTCACTGTCTGGGCTGAACAATGAGTGGTGATCATTCCTTCCTCCATATGTGTGTATTAAACATGCACGGTTTATATTGGGAAAAATAATAATTGAAAGGAATTAGCATGACAGCTGTGAAATAATTGCAGTTTATCACAGTTAACAGTAGTCTCCCCCATGAAGTCATCAGTCACGATTGCATAACTAGTCATTGTGGATCAATGAGTTATCTGGCAAAGTTAATACCTGGGAGCAGATCCATTGAAATGAATGGACTTGTGTTCAACTTGCCAGTCAATGTCAGTGGGTCTACTCTGAGTAGAACTAATATGGGATTCAAGCCATTGCCTTCAATTACGAGTGGCAGTGGCTACCCAGTGTGCTTGTCTGCAGGAATTGCCTGCTCATGAAATGTTCAGCCTGTGGCTCTCTCTGTGTGTATTGATATTTCCTTTCACTTGCAGTGACTGATCTGGACGAGCTTTGTGTCTTCCCTTTCCAATACAATGGTAAAACGTACGACACATGTATTCAGGAGGGACGAGAGCGGCCATGGTGTGCCACTACAAATAACTTTGCAAGAGACAAAAAATGGGGTTTCTGTGTCAACGGTAAGCAAGCGTTGGAAAAATGCTCATACAGTTTGGGGCAGATTCAGATGGAACAAGTTGGTAGCTAGGGGTAGAGCAGCAACCACAGGAAAGAAAAGCAACAAACACTGTGGCCTGCAGCTTGCACAGTACTTCTGCACACATTTTAGAAACTCTGCAAACAACCAGATGTTTTGCTCTGAGTTAGGGTGAATGCTGATAGTGAATATTTCTGTTAACCCATGGCACTCTCCCAATCGACACCAGGAGTTATTTGCATAGAGCATTAGATTAGCCTATTGATGAATGACCAACTTGATTTTGAGTTGGAAAAGATATGCAGTGCTCATGCAGTTTGCCAGTGTGCAAGACAAGATGCGCAGTAAAGGTTGTCATGGAACAGGTCATCGGAGTTAGCACCTTTGTGTAGTGTCAGGGATGGACAGTAACAAATAGTGTGTGTTCCTCCCCGTAATCGTTTGTTTCAGGATGTACTGAAACATTTTTTGGAAATTTTATTCATCTATTTATTTCTATTAAATTTCTATCCCACCTTTCTTCCAAGGAGCTCAAGGCGACAAAAAGTTCTCCCCTCCCCTCCCCTCCTCCTCTTATCCTGTCAATAACTCTATGTGGTAGAGGTTAGGCTTAGAGATGGGGACTGGCCCAAGGTCACAGTTTCATGGCTGAGGGGTATTTGAACCCTGGCCTGTCCGGATACTAGTCCAGCACTCTTTAACAACTACACCACACTGGTGCTCAAATTTTAATATGAGGCTGTAATCCAAAGCTTGCACGTTAACACCGCCAAAATCAGAAGGATTTACCTTGGAGAAGATGCATTTAGAATGAGAATATTAAAGTGAAATATACAATTTTTCTTTCAGAAAGATAGCATGTAGATCAAACAAAATTCACGATGCTGCATTTGTGTTTCCCTCTCTGGTATCGTTAATGGTCTTGCACAAGAGTTGTCCTAGATTTCTTAATTCCACCACCCTCTTGCAGAGAGTCTGTGTTCAGCACTCAACCATTAATTTAGCCTAGCTTACCTCCATTCTTACAGACCTGTAAATCACCTGTGATGAGCTTTATTTCCAGGTGTCTAGGCAGGAAAGCCGTTGGCAATGGGAAGAATTAGTCTCCTCTCCAGCCACTTGGGTGCTACAAATGATCCCTCTTTGTGAACTAACAACTTTTGTAGGCTTACTTAGGGTTGCCATGTTTTAGTTTTGGCCAAAGTTGTCAAGCTTTTTAAAGTCCCCCCCCCCCAAAACCTGGACTATAATGTTGCCAGCTATGCTCCCTGTGCTTGCAAATGTTTCTCAAATGCTACATGGTTGCAGCCCATGTACTGTGGTGGGACGGTGGTCAGAATTTGGGTGTGGATTTACAGTTTCTTATGATGGTGAAACCTTTGCTTGTGTCTTGCAGGAAATGGCCGCCGGGAATCAACTATTATTTTCAAGTGTGATGACAACGCTGATGATGGGAGCCCTCAACTACTGAGTGAGACAAATGGCTGTGCAGTGACATTTGAATGGAAGACGCAAGTTGTGTGTCCGCCCAGGAAAATGGAGTGCAAGTTTATTCAGAAGCACAAAACTTACGATTTGAGAGTGCTTTCCTCCCTCACGGGATCTTGGATCTTTGCTGACAAGACCAGCTCGTGAGTCTGTTTTACAGTTCTATTGGAAACCATATTCCCAGTACATTTTTATTTGAAGGATAGGACAGCCACCTTACAAATGTTGGTGTTAACTTTTGAAGACAAGAGGCTGCCAGTGTCACACAGAAACAGTTGGGACTGTGCTTAACTGGTTTTGCACTCTTGTGTCTTTTGATCTCATTTCTTTGAGAATGCATGAGGAGTTTGTATCTCAAGGTAACAGTGGGGAGGTATACCAGTAGAAAAGAGGTGCACATTAGCCAGGAATGGTGTTGCTACTTGGCAGTGCCCAGTGTCATTGGAATACTGGGCTTACTATGATTCCAGAAGTTGCCAAACAGGAAAAGGTTCAGGGCAGAACCGTTGAGGTTTATAGAAGACTTAAAAGGTAAGTAGTATGAGGGGAATGGAAAGGCTTGGTCCACTTAACATAGAAGAAGAGATGAAGACATGAGATGGCGGTAGTCCCCAAATGATTAAAAGAGAAATGGAGAACGCTGCTATGACACGCAACACCAAAATTATGGAAGATACTAGCAAATAGACAAATTACTGTATTTTTCCGTGTATAAGACTAGATTTCCCCCCTAAAAAATAATGTCGAAAATTAGGGGGCATCTTATGCTCTGGGCCAAACCCCCCCCCCATTTTCTTAAATCTGAGTCCCCCAAAATAGGGGGCATCTTATATATGAGGGCATCTTACAGATGGAAAAATACGGTAATTCAGTTTACACAATTTATGCAGGTTGCCGCATTCAGTTTTTCTTGCTGCAGAATTTAAATGTTTTAGCCTAAAGTACATATAGCTATGGTAAATATGCAGTTATATACTAGGCTGATCTATTACTTGTTTTCTTTTCCTCCTCTGTTTAAAGTTACTACATGAATCTCTGTCAAAGAGTCCACGAAGGACCCACAGGTTGCCCAGAACGAGCAAGTGTTTGCCGGAGAAGTCAGAACGGGGCTGTGCAGGTTCTGGGATTAGTACATACTCAGAAACTAAATGTAACAGGTATGTACCTAAATACAGTGCATGGTTTTGTTGTTTTTTTAAAAAAGGGCAACTGAAGTAAATATTTTAATGGAAAATGTGTCTATTTACATTCATTACTCTAAGCTGCTGAAATCTATATTATATTTAGCTTTCTATTTCTTCTCATCAGGGTCGCTTAAGCTAGACTTTTTACTGAGGCATAGACAAATCTTAACATTTAATACCCAACATTCATTGGTGTAATCCAGCTCCTATATAAATTACTAGATGGTCTGCTGTAAAGCCTCAACAGGCTGTGGATTCTGCCTGCTGTTCAGTACACTGGGCTGTGCAGAAGTGCCATTAATACTTGGTAAAACCTTCCCCAAAGGACAAATACTCCTTAAACAATTGGTCCTTACCTTTTATGAAAGAGCTGCACTTAATCTTTGAAAACTAAATTCACAAACATTCTGATATATTTTGGGCCATTTGACCTAGCTGTAAAATCTTGAGCTCTTCCGTTACAAGAACCAATAATTACATTGAAAGAAATGTCACTAATGTAAGGTCAAGATGGGGTGGGGGTGGCTGGCTGGCATGATTTTAAAATGTTAGTTCATTTTTGGTTGCAAAGCATTCCTTGTGTTTTTGTGTTGCTTCCAAAAAACACTGTATCTTGCATTTTAATTAACAAGAACGTGATGTTTCTGTTTCAGATGATAGAATCCTTGTCAGTTACTCCAACGGCCATGAATGTCCACAGAGGAACAAAAAAGCAACCACCGTGATAGAACTGAAATGTGGAAAAACAGTTGGCATGCCAAGGTTTAATAGGTAAAGTGTAAAGAGTAACTGGCTTCTGTAGTGTAGTTGAGGGCCTCTTGAATGTTACTGTGATTAATGGGTACACCTCAGATATGTTGGTAGTGCCTGCAGTGTTCCTTGAATTGACAGGGAGGGGAGAGAGAATTGCCACCTTTTCCCACCACACATTCATAAGATTGGGATCCAAGGCTACTTGGCACTGTGACCGCATCCTCACTGTTATTCTGCTTCGACAGGCATGGCTTATCCCCAGAGAATCCTCAGAAATGTAGTTTGCTAAAGATGCAGAGAGTTGTTAGGCGGCCCCTATTCCTCTCACAGACCTGCAGTTCCCAGTGTGGCTTATCAGTCACTCTTCCCTAGGAGCTCTGGGAACTGTGAGGAGAAGATGGGGGTCTCCTAACAGCTCTCAGCACCCTTGGCAAAATCCAGTTCCTAGGATTTTGGGGGCGGAGGCCGTGAATGTTAAAGTGGCCTGTCTTAAAGGACTTGCAACTGGGTGGAGTTTTTGACCTTGGTATTTTCAGAGTGACCAGTAGCCTTAGCTGCAAGTTTTGCCACAAAACTTGGAATTTTAATTGTATAAGCAACACCACCAACCACTAGGAGGTGCTGTTCCATGTCATTAGTGCTTACCTAAGGTTCCATGTTTTCCTTGTTGTGTCTTGTCTGTCACGTGGTCTTGGAAATGTTCCTATAAAGAGCAGTTCTTTATTGGAGACTTCTGCTGCCAGTTTTACTGCCAGATCTCTAATAAAGCCTTCAGGCAAGAGGGAGTTGGGAACCTGCTTTTAGCAGCTCCCCATCAGCATTATTTAGATTTATGCACTCCTGGTGTCTGTGAGCTTTCCTGTATATCTTTACAAACTTCTTTCTGCAGTGCTGAGTGTCAGAAGCATTGTTCTTACTTGAATCTTGGGATACTATTATGCAATTTGGCCCCGCTGAATAGCTGAGGGCTGTAGAATGCATACATAAATATGACATGCCACTTATATTTCCAGATCCTCTTCGGAGCCTCCTTTTGCAAAGCTATTTCTCTTTTCTATCCCAGTTCTCTCTCTTGTTTTATTTCTAAAAGACAGTGTACATGCAACTGCATTCGCTCCCAGTCTTGATGCTGGTAATCTCTTTTTGTTCCTTCCTGGTCAAGTGTAATTTTATTCAACTCCGTGGTGTTGATGGTCTTAAAATGTGTGCGTTCTGTGTTTCAAACGGGAAGATGTTTCTATGGGACACTGGCACTAGACTGAGATGGCAGCAGTTTTGTTCTTTTGTTGATAACCAGGTTTTTCTGGAAGAGTGTATTATGTCCATGCAGGGATTGTGGTAGGGAGGAATGGTGTCATGAGTTGCTGTCTACTGAAGAGAGTTATTATCAAGTGAGCAGCTGCTGGAGGATAGCTTAATTCCTGGGTCTCCTGGTGGGCTGCTTACCTATTTCCCTTTCACTTACATTATCAGAACCAATTCCATGTTACAAAAATCACAGGCCTTAGGCTGCTAAGAAGGGCCAGTTTAACTGGTGATTTTCTAGGGGAAAATTAGAGCACACCAGTGCTTATTAAGATAATCACAGACTCAGAGCTAGAGCCTTGTCAGCCTGGATGATAATCTGGTACTGATCAAAATGGCCTCACTGTCGATCAGAGCAATTAAATCAAGTTTAGAGCCTAGAACAGGTATTTCCAGCTGTTCCACAACTTGCTTGTGGGCCACAGATTACTCTTTTAGATATTCTGCTGTAGAACATGTGGATGATAGGTGGATACAATTGGTGTGATTTCCAAGTTTAGATGTATTCATAGAAACGTGCTAAAGGGAGCATTTATAAACTTGAAATGAAACACTTGAATGTAGACAGTCACAGATATGCAGCAAATAAGTCTTAGCTGTTCCCTCTGCATCACGTGGCCTCTACCATCATGTCATTTATGCTTATTGCTGGTAAACCTTTTCCTTGCTTCTCAATATTTCCTGTTAGGATTGATGAAGAAAACTGTGCCTACTACATCACATGGGAAACTCGGGCTGCTTGCGCTGTGAAACCCCAGGAAGTAACAATGAAGAATGGCACAATCATAAATCCAGTGACAGGGAAGAATTTCAGTCTGGGCAATATATATTACAAGTAAGTATACTCTCCTGATGTAAAAGAAGTGGTAGAAAAGGCAGGGGTACAAAAATTCCAGCCACTCAGTCGCTGCTTCAGACGTTCTTGGAGGCAACCAAATAAGATTAGTGCATATTGTAGAGTAGTATCAAGTAACAACACAAGATAACACAATATACTTGGAAGAATAGCCTACTTGGAAGAGTCATGATAAGCTGGAGATGTGCTGTGCTGGTCTCCTTATTAAATGGAACTGAACTTGAAATATGAACTTGGATTAACAATCAAGTGAGAAGAGGTGCTTAAGCTGACTAATGCATACTGAATATTTTGTTTGTTTGTTTGTTAACTCTGATTATATTTGTTCCCTGTGTCTTTTAAAAACCATGAATCTACTCTGTTTCAGATTATACAATGCTTCCGGTGATATAAGAGCAAATGGTGACACCTACATTTATGAAATTCAGCTTTCTGCCATCACTGGTTCAAAGCACCATGAATGCTCTGGAGCCAACATATGTCAAGTTAAAACATCAGATACCCATTTTAGGAAAATTGGATCTTCTAACAAGGCTAAATATCATGTTCAGGGCAAGTACCTATTGCTTCTAATATTAACTTACTGGGTTACAGCAAACATGCTTAGCAATATGTCTTGGTAATGCAACATCTGTTGAGAAAACTTGATTAAGAACTGGAAAGCATAGATCAAACATTAGTTTAGCCCAATGAACTCCCTTATTTTTTTCCCCCTAATCCAAATAGCTGCAACAAATCTTAACACTGTCCTCTCTTTAAGGGGTCTAGAATATGAATAGGTAAATTGTAATTTCTTAGGAACTTTGAATCTTTCCTCTCTCTTTTTTGTAGATGGTGATTTGGATGTCGTGTTCTCCTCAGAGTCCCAATGTGGGAGAGACAAAACAAAATTTGCATCTTCAACCATTTTCTTCCACTGCAGCCAGCAGGCCAAGGAAGGCATCCCCCGATTCCTTCATGAGTCGTCAGATTGCCAGTACTTGTTTACCTGGTACACCTCGGCAGTCTGTCCCTTGGTGTAAGTGAGAACACCGAAACCTGTCACTGCTTACCCTATGGGATAACATAGAGGGGTTGTACATTACTAAAAGCCATGTCGGAATCTTGTGTAACACCTAATAACCACACAGAGTGGCAGCCATAGTAATTCTGCAGTCATAGTTATGTGGGTTAGATAGCACCTACCTTTTTCTGGAGGAGGAACCGGCAAGCCACTCCAGTATCCTTGCCAAGAAAACTCCATGGACAAAGGCAACAGGCATATTCTTGGGAGAAGGGCAATGACAGGCCTAGACAGCATCTTGAGAAGTAGAGACGTCACCTTGCCAACAAAGGTCCGTATAGTTAAAGCCATGGGTTTCCCAGTAGTGATGTATGGAAGTGAGAGCTGGACCATAAAGAAGGCTGATCGCCGAAGAATTGATGCTTTTGAATTATGGTGCTGGAGGAGACTCTTGAGAGTCCCATGGACTGCAAGAAGATCAAACGCATCCATTCTTAAGGAAATCAGCCCTGAGTGCTCACTGGAAGGACAGATCGTGAAGCTGAGGCTCCAGTACTTTGGCCACCTCATGAGAAGAGAAGACTCCCTGGAGAAGACACTGATGCTGGGAAAGGAGAAGGGGGCGACAGAGGACGAGATGGTTGGATAGTGTTTTCGAGGTTACCAGCATGAGTTTGACCAAACTGCGAGAGGTAGTGGAGGACAGAGGTGCCTGGCGTGTTCTGGTCCATGGGGTCACGAAGAGTCGGACACGACTAAACGACTAAACAACAACAACACCTTTTTTAAAGGGGTGTCGTGATTGGCAAATCTTGAGTCTCCCTAGTGTGTGTATATTAAAAACAGATTTAGAATCCACTGATTAAACTGCTTATTCTGGATGCCTCTAGCTTTTCCTAATATAACAGCTTATTTTTTAAAAATTTAAGGCATTTGTTACTGCTATTTATAAACATTCCAGGGTGGTACACAATACTAATGAAATCTAAAACAATAAAAGACTGAAACTCAATAAAGTAATAAAATAAAAATAAAACTAATAAGCCTTGAAGTTCTTTAAAAATCACAGGCAGAATCCTGCATTGGGTTTGAAAGCAAAAAGAACACTCGTGTAAGAAGATAACCTTTTGGATACAGGCCCCTCCCTCTCAATACTGTTTCTTTTTATTGCCTGCAGAAGCTCCGAGCCAACAAACAATGAAACATTTGTAGAAGAAATTTATAAAGGCCTTTCAGGAAGAAGCCAAGCGGTTGGTGCCATACTGAGTTTGCTCCTTGTGGTCCTTACAGCATGCCTAGTTATCCTGTTACTTCATAAAAAGGAAAGACGGTAAGGAGGGATGGATTGGGGTTCCAGTTTTGCAATAACTTCCTGGTCCTCACCCCCATGCAATTTTTTGTGAGTGCCATGCATTCAGAACAACGGATTCAGTCTTTGCAAATCCACCCAGGGGCTATGTTGATCACTTCTAGTCCATCGGCAGCACACAACCAGCAACAGTAGCACCAAGCTGCAGGTTTGATCCTCATAAGGGACAGCTGCATATTCCTGCATTGCAGGTGGTTGGACTAGATGATCCTCAGGCTTCCTTCCAACTCTGATTCTATGATCTCCGCTTTGGGATACTTCAACTTTCCTTAGGGAACCTTGTGTCCAGAAGCATCCATGGTTACATGCTTCATTGCTGAAACTCCCAAGCACTAGTACAATGGTCATTCTCCCATTCCTGCCTTCATGCTTTCTACTGTGATCAATCCACTCCCTCCCTCCCCCCTTCATCAAGTCGCCTTCCTCTATTCCCCAAGTTGCTCCTCAAAATTGACTTTTTCAGCAGACCACCAGGCTTCTCTTCCTCTCACCTGCCAACATCCTGTTAAATCCTTTAACAACTGAAGAGGGATGGTGTGCAGGGGACATATGCAAGGGGCAGTATGAAAGGGTTAGTGGGTGCTCTTGCTCTGAGCAAGCTCCTTCTAGTGCACCCTTCCACATAAAATATTGCATGTTTTCTTTTTAAGATGGCAGAAATGTGAGTTACCAGTGTGATGGGAAGACTGGGGAACCTATGGCCCTCCAGATGTTGCTGGACCTGTTGGCCTTGCTGGCTAGGGTTGATCCAAGTCCAACAATGGCTGGAAGGCCACAGGTTGCCCATCCCTCTGTAGAAGCTGAGGTTGGGCTAAGCCAGCAGTTAATAATAGAAGTGAATGAAGTAGTGAATTTGTAAGTGGCATTTTACGCAAAGTATGTAATGCTAATGTTTGCTATTTTGTAGAGAGACCATGAAGCAAAAGATAGCCAACTGCTGTCGGAGAACATCTAATGTTTCCTATAAGTATACAAAGGTAATTGTTTCTCTGTGTGACTCAGAGGGTTTGCTCCATTTGACTATGAATTGTATGCATAGTTGCAAACTCTGCTTAAAATCATACTTGTTTCATGTAATCAGGGGCTACTTGTGATATAATATAAAGTAGATTTACTTAGCAATTGAAGTCCTATAGAATCTCTTTTATATATAAAAAAACTTGATTATTCATAACTTTCAGTTGTTGAGAGTCAGGGTTATCCCCTCCTGTCCTATTCCAGTTTTTGAAGAATCCTATGAAAGAATTTCCATATGTCCAGGCTTCATATCTGATTGGTGTGGGGAATACTTAGAACATTGGGCTTTCTAATATAGCTGTGTTAAGGGATTTAAGCCAAATTTCTGAGAATTGAACTTATTTTTCAAGCTAAGTGCAGAAGCTTGGGAGCAAGAAAAAAGCATATTGATACCATGAATAGATCCAGCTCCTTTTGGTGTACATAGATTTCCTAAATGATTTCCCATTCCCAATATGAACTTTAGACGACATAGTTAATAGAAATCCATATGGGGCCTGGGGTGGAGGTGAGGGTGCACTTTGTGGCCAAGAAATAACACCAGGTTAAGTTTGTAGTAATTCCTTAAAAATTGTTGAATAGGAATTGTTTCAGCTATACTTTTATATGTATGTAAGAAGAAATTTGCAGATTGGAAAAGTAAAAGGAAATAGTTGGTCATAAGATGATGCCTTGTTCAGTCAGACCTATGGTCCATGTAGCCAACTATTATCTACTTGACGGGGAGCAGGATCTCAGACCAGAGGCCTTTCCCATCAGTTGCTCCTAATATCCTCCCTTGGTTATTGCTCCTAATATCCTCCCTTGGTTATTTTTATAAACTGGAGGTGCCAGGTTGAATTCTCCATGGTTCTTTGCTGCTGAGCTTGTGACCCATTTCCAAGATGAGGTTTATCTTGGGATCCATAGAATGGTTGTGCAAAGACTTTAAAATTCTGTTTGTTAACTGCACCCTCTTGAACATGACAGATAAGCACTGAAGAACTGAACGAGAACGAAATGGAATGGCTCATGGAGGAGGTAGCTGCACCCAACCAGAAGTCAGGAAACGAAGGGCACGAAAACGGCCACATCACCAGCAAAGTAGTTAAGTCGGATGCTCTCACTTCTCTTCATGTGGATGATATGGACAGCGAGGATGAAGTCCTCACAATACCAGAGGTGAAGATTCATTCTGCGAGGGGCGTCCAGTCTAGTAGGCTTCCTCATGACAAGACCCTTAACCTCCCAAGCAGCGATAAGCCTGGCCTGCTCAATGGCAACAAGAATAGCAAAGGCAGCACCGCTTTTGGCCAACGGAAGCTACAGAACTCAGTGAAGACAGCTTCCTTTCATGATGACAGCGATGAGGACCTGTTGAACGTTTAACCTTCATTGTGCCTAATCAAAATGCCATGTGTGTGTGTACATATATATATATAAAGGTGGGACAAACAAAATACTTCCAACCAAATACGAAGACTTTAGCTGCAGATGCCTTTTGCAAGGGGGTGTTTCAAAGGGAAGGTGGGAGGAGGAAAGAAGGGTCAATCCTAGTTGTTTACAATGGTCTGTTTAGTGATTACTGGATTTCTAGCATCCACCTGAATGAATTGTGGCAATTCTTCTCCTCAGCCAGGATTTGCACTCTCCCCGTTCTGTAGATTGTAGAGGCTTCATAAGGCTTCCAAAAGGTAGGCTCAGATCTGAACGAAGTCCCCTCACCTTCAAGACGAGACTTGCATTTTAACACTCTTATTTTTATTTATTGTTCTCGGTACTCAGGTTCATGAAAATAATAATAAGCAACTTGCTCTTCCTGCAGGCCAGGGTGTTTGTGTTACAGATTCACCCCATCACATGAAATGGAGATGAGGGGTCCTCTGTATGTTTGCTGGGTTGTTTTGATGTACATTTTGGAGCTGGTCTGTTTAAACTTGCCTGTACATTTGATTTCCCGTATCCTAACTTAAAATGCATTATGATTTGAAAAGTGTTTTTACTGGAAGGTACAAATCTTCATAGCTTTAGCCTTGAACAGTGGCTGTTCGTTGCATGTTGAGTCTCTTTTTGGGGGGTGGGGTTAGCCAATCACATTAAGTCATTCATCAGTATTTACGAAACTTTTGGTGAAATAACCCAGAGCTCTCCTTTAGCTTTGCTGTTTCTTTCGAAGAGCAGTAAGGAAGGCAGATGTTCACTGTTATAATTCCTCCTTATGTTGTCATGATGAGAAGAACACTGTACCTCTTTTGAAATGCGATCCTGCTTCAGGGGCTGTAGAAGGCAGGGGGAACCCTGTCCCTTTTGGGAAATGGCCCTTCTGGAAGAGTCTCCTAACCCTACCATATGGAACTAATTTATTCCAAGCCAAGCTATGGAATTTCTAGAACATCAGCTTCACTGCCCTGGGAGATGTATGCCTGCTCAAAGCCACCGGCCAACAGAAGCCTTAATTGCACAGACACAAACTTGAATTTTGGCAGACACTGTGTGTGGACACTGAGAGGCAACAAATGTTTTTTGGGTAATATCACTGAACATCCAGGTCAGTTTTGCCTGCTGGAGCCGCTGAAATTAAAGTGTTGTTGGCAACATTGAATGAAGATCTCCCTATAGCTATTGACATCTACTCTGTTTCTGACGGATCTCACGGGCAAAGAGCAAGTTTCTATGGACAATGCACCAGTATTTAACACTGGCTAGAAGCTCTTCCTTGTTTATACCTTTTCCTATTTACACTGGTTTGCTTAAGGTTGGCTTCCACTTAGGAATCTGATTTAATGTAACAAAAAGTGTTCAAATGATTTCAATAAAAGCTAAATTATGTTTCCCAGGAATCTATACAAGATTAATTTTTTGTGATTTCAAATAACCTTGTAATGGGTCTCAGAACAGAGATGGCGATGTAGAGAACTTTTCTGTACAATTCTGAGTACACATTCTAAAGATCTGCCAGACTACTACCGCAGAAGCAGAATGAATTGTCAAAATCCATTAGGAAGAGGGACAGTCCACTTCATTACTTTGAGTGGGCTTGGTTCACGTATTTGACCAGCTGGCCAGCCATGGGAGGCTGACTTCTAAGTACCGGAAACTGCAAGGGGCCTCTGGATCCCCACTGCACAGTAGAAGTTCCCTTGGTTTTCTCTTTGATGGGATGTATGTTGCCTGTTTCTGAGTTAGAAAATTTCAGTTCTGCTTCACAAAGGATTGGCCAGAATGCTTAGCTTAAGCTAACTTAAAGCCAAGGGTAGTCTGAACATCACTACTGGATGTCTCGGAGTGAACAAAATAGCCTAAAATTGGTGAGCTGGAATGACATTTCAGAAGAATATTGGGTGCTGGTATGTTGTTTTTTTCTCAAAAGGAAAGTGCTATATGGTAGAACAACTTTCAGAACTGTACTTTATCCTCTCTTGGAGGCCCTTCTCGGAGCACTCTGCCTTTTCTGGTAGGCAGGTGGCAACCGGATGTCTGCTTGCTCTGGTGGCCCCCAAGTAACAGCACTCCATCACTTGCTTGCCTGTTCTTGTTGTTTAGGCACCTGGAGAAGGCCATCCTATTCTATTATGTTTCAATTTCACCTTTTTTTCCACCCCTTTTAACAGACCTTGTGTGATAGGTAAGGCAAGAGCGATGATCACTGGCTCAAGGTTACTCAGTGATCTTTCTGGCCAAGTGGGACTAACCACTACACACACTACCTTAGGCTTTAATTCAGATATGATTTGCCTTTTGTGGTATTTGCTCTTCCTTTTTAAAATGCTTCCATGTCTCTCCAAGCTGCTCTTCTAGACTTCTTTCTACTTTTTCTTGGTCCACAAATCTGAAGACCACCCAGATGACTGGCAGTCTCTACTAGTCAAGAAGCTTTACAAAAGAGCATAACCATTTTTTTAGTTTCTGTTTCTCTCTCCACTGTGCCCTAAATCTGCTTTTTTTTTTGGTCTTCTCTGTTATGTACCCTTGCACACGTGTTTACCATGTGTAAAGAGAACTTCATTGAAATGTGCATCACAGTGTCAGTTCAGAGTTGCATACCTGTACAACAAGCATTACCTCCAATGATTACAAGCAGTCACAGGCATTTATCCCTAATACGCAAGTGGTTTAATAGGGTAATAACATAAAAAGTTAGTGCAAGCAAGGGAGTGGTACAGAACTGGACTCAAATTACACTACTTTGTCAGTGCACAACATGGCTTCTGTGGTTACCAGCTCTGAATTGCTGACATGTTAGCAATGTATAGATTCAGCTGGCCCCTTCTGTGCCAGACCTTGACCAGTACAGTCAAACTAATTGGCCCAGAGCTATCTGTATTCCTGAAAAACGATGGTAGTAATGGAACATAGGATCAATGAGGTTTGTATGAACTGCATACACTCAAAAAGCACACTGATAACTGAACGCAAGCCAAGATACCAACATACAAGATTCCAACAGATGCTCTGTGGGGTAGGAATGCTTTTACTCACAGAACAAACAAACAGCCAACCAGAATATATTCCATTCTTTTTGTCACTACTGCTTCACTGCCTAGATGTTTCAAGTGGCCTTTTCCTGGCCAAGAATGACCAGGTTAACTTTCCTTCAATCTCTCTCTATGTTTTCACAAATTTCCACTCCCCCTTGGGAATATGAACATGACACTTAACTTTATTAGGTCAACTAAAACTAAAACAAAAAATACTACTCTAATATCTATTATGGAAGAAAGTGAAATACTTTTACTTCTGCCATGAAAGCCCGTGGACTATTTTTCCAGACTTAAAATCTACCTGAGATGGGAAGATAGGCCAAAGGGGGCTGGGATGCAGCAATTTTTAGATTCTCAGAAAGAGGGTTTTGGGTACTTGGAGTTTCATTTTGTGTTGTACAACTCACAACACAAATTACAACTTGAAATAGGCAGCACCTCAAAAACAGGTTTTGGGTTTTTTTTAAAGCAAAAACTGATGTAAAGTGAGACTTGAGTTGTATGAACACCACTAATATCTACAAACACAAAATCTAAAAACATAGGAAGCAGCTGCCCTACCAGATCAGACCAGATACTTATGAGAAGCCCTCATCCTGATATGGTCGCCTCCCCCCCCCCATTAGTACACAATTATCCTTGAAGATTTAACGTAAGACATGCAAACTGATGCATTTCCAGTGCTATTGCAGAAAAGTAACCCAGCAGAGTGTGGCTGTACAAGGAGCATCAAACAAAGAAAACAAGTGATGAGGTAGCAAACGGACTTTAAGAAAGCCAAATAGACTTCATGACACCGAGATAATAACATGCTGTGTAGATGGGTCTCCAGCAACACAGGCCAAACCAACTGAGCGATACATTAACTAGCTCTGAGCCTTTTTCTGCTTCAGTACTCCTGTTATTCACTGGACTTCAGTTTACATAGAACACCTTCACATTCTTAGGTTACCCATTTAAAAAAAGAAAGTCCTGGAATATAACATTCTTGGGACGAGGCCACTGATCTTCCACGAATGCTGTGGCCTTGAAGATGACGTGAATTGTCTTCATAGAGATCTATTGCCCTTCTGTAGCATGGGCATTGCAAGTGGAAAACCTATCTTCTGTGGTGATTGTCCCTATCAGTTCTGTGATTCTCTGCATCATATAAATAAAGAGAACACAAGTTGGGGGTATGCAGGCCAAAGTAGACAGGATCTGGTTCCATGAATTTGTCTAATCCTCCTAAAGCTAGTCTTGCTATACTAGTTGCCATGAAGGCCATTTGTGCATTTACGCTCCATGAATTTAATGTATGTCCAGAGGGAGGGAGGGACTGGCTATTCCCAGAATGGTTTGACAAATCAATCCCTCTTCCTAAGGAACGCTGAAAATTTTAACTCTGTGAAGGGAGTAGGAGTCTCCTAAAACACTACATTTCCCAGGAATCGGGTTGGGGGTGGGGAATGACCCATGATTATTTACAGTGGTATCATAGTGCTTTTAATGAATGGTGTGAATGTGGCCTGGGCTTACTAGGGGCATATTTAGTCATTGTCTCCTGCCCAGGATTCTCTTCAATGCACCTCTTAACTTGCCACCAAAGAAGGGAATAGCTGCTTTCTTCCATGGGAAGGAATGGTAAAGTTCAGTATCTGGGGATAATGTTGGAGAGGGGGCAAAACCCAACAGTGAGAGGCCCACCTTCTAATGGCAGGGGCCCCTTGTGGACTGGAGTATCCTGAGGTGCGTTGCATCCACAGGACTCCCTACACCCACCTACAATGCTTTTGTGAGGGTATTATCAACAACAGGGTGAAGTGGGGTAGCATCTGAGGGACTGCAGGAAGCACACAATCTCTCTCTGTAAAAGCAGCTCCAATGTCCAAGGCTGGCCAGATTTATCAGCCAGGGGTTTGTTTACCTCTGTCAAAAGGCTTTGTCACAAGTCAATGTTGTCTTTTGCACTGGTGACCTTCCACCTTTTATTTGCTTGTCTGGGACTAAATATGGCTAGCGACTTCACTTGAAGCAAAGCAGAGAAAAGGGGACCGCTGGATTTCTTTAAAGCAACCCATCTTTGTTGTGCTTCCCACTGCTTTTAACACTGAAGAATGCTAGCCTTCAAGTTTAGTTACCCTCCTCCCCCCATGAAGCTTATATAAAAGTTGACACAGATGGCTTAATAATTTATAAACTAATACTTTGACTTGGGGGTCAGACGTCCTGTTGTTTAAGCGTATTTCTGCTCGGCACAATTAGGAACAGTGTTGTGAATGACAGGCTTTGTACAAAATGCCAAACTTCGATGACATTCTAGAGCACATTGGGGAATTCGACCTGTTCCAGAAAAGAGCCTTTTTTCTCATTTGCTTCGTCTCTGTTGCCTTTGCCCCGATCTATGTGGGAGTCGTTTTCCTTGGCTTTATACCTGAGCACCGTTGCCTGAATCCTGGAGCTGCCGAGTTAAGCAGGAGATGTGGCTGGAGCCCCGAACAGGAAGTGAATTACACAGTTCCAAATGGAGAGACTTTCACCCGTCAATGCATGAGATACAATGTGGACTGGAATGCAACTGAGCTGAGCTGCACAGAACCGTTGGAAGCCTTTTCCAGTAACAAGAACTTCTCTCTTACAACCTGCCAAGATGGCTGGGTCTATGATCCTTCAATATGGTCCATCGTGAGCGAGGTAAGGTCATGCTGCTGCCTTTCCCATGCTCTCTCTTGGTCTATTAGTACAGTCATCCCCAAGCTGATGACCTCCAGATGTTTTGGGCTACCACTCCCATCAAACCCAGCCAACGTGGCCAGTAGTGGGGGATGATAGGAGCCGTAGCTCAAAACATCTCAACGTCACCAGGGTGGGGTAGGATGCTCTGGTGAATAGCTCAAAACTGGGAAGAGGAGGAGGTGGTGGTGGGGTATCACTGTGGTATGTGCAGGTGGGCTTCAGGAAATACCAACAACATTCCACATAGAGGAAAAGCAGTCATTTTACAACAGGTTAGGTTGCATTAATGCTGCCAGCCCTCATGTCAGATTCTGATGCCTCATTTAGAAGCTGAGTAGACACTGAAATCAATAGCATTCACTTTTGTTTCCTGAAAAATCCAGTACTTCTTTGTGATGGCCATCCTCTGTTTTTTTAAATTTAGAAATGTCAGCTTCAGGCAAATAATCATACAGCTTGGTTTACAGTTCGCATAAATGAGGCTAGCCTTCACCAGCCTGGTGCCCTCCAGATGTTTTGGACCCCATTCTCAACCAGGACAGCCATGCCAGCTGGGGGAGATGAAGGATGTAGTGCAAAATAACTTGAGGGCACATATGAGTTTTAACTACATTGTGCAAAAATGTGGAACTGCTCAAAGCTAG